CTGCTCCACCTGTTCTTGGCTCGGAGCACAAATAAGTCATCCAGATATGGGAGGATCTGCATACCACTGGCTTGCATCAGGGCCAGTGCTGCCCGCATTCACCTCGTGAAGACCCTTGGGGCTAGGGAAAGCCCGAATGGGAGCACCTTGAACTGATAGGCCTCTGAGCTGCAGGAGAGCTGTGATAACCCTGCTGCCGAAGAAAGGAGACCTTCAGGACGTCAGAAACTGGCATCCAGTCTCCCTCCTCTGTTCGGACTATAAGATCTTGTCCAAGGCTCTGGCTAACCGGTTGAAGCAGGTGATGGAGGAAATCGTTCACCAGGATCAGTCGTACTGTGTGCCTGGTAGGTCCATCACAGACAACGTGTCGTTAATCAGGGATGTTTTGGATGTCTCCAGTTCTTTGGGCACTGACCTTGGTCTCATTTTGTTAGACCCAGAAAAAGCATTTGACAGGGTTGAGCACCTTTATTTTTGGAAAGTTCTGGAGTGTTTTGGTCTCAGCCTGAGTCTCATTGCTATAATAAAAGTTTTGTACCGAGATATTCAGAGTGTGTTGAAGGTTAACGGGGGTCTGAGTGCTCCCTTTACATAAGCCCGGGGTGTCAGACAGGGCTGTCCTCTTTCTGGGATGCTGGATGCATTGTCCATTGAGCCCTTGCTACACCGAATCCGGTCCTGTATTGGTTTTACCGGGTTTTAACACACCACATGTTTTATCTGCTTATGCTGATGATGTCATGGTCCTGGTCATGGGATAGAGAAATGATGGTATAATGTATCTAGGTGTTTATCTTGGCAAAGAAGAAATGGTGAAAAGAAACTGGGAGGGCATGATAGAGACGATGAAAGGAAGGTTGAAAAAGTGGAAATGGCTGCTTGCTCAGATGTCCTTTAGAGGAAGAACTCTAGTAATCAACAACCTTGTAGCTTCAGCACTGTGGCATCGTTTAGCTTGTATGGAGCCACCTGCTGGTTTACTCGCAAAACTAAAAGCAGTTTTAGTGGACTTTTTTTGGGACAGGTTACACTGGGTACCTCAGAGTGTGCTTTTTTTTACCAAAAGAAGAAGGGGGGCAAGGCCTGGTACACCTAGCAAGCAGAGTGGCAACTTTTCGATTTCAATTTGCACAGAGATATCTGACAGGTTTTAAATACCCAGTGTGGAAAAAGTTTGCAAGCAGCATTTTAAGGAGAACAGACAAGTTGGGCCTTGACACTGCTTTGTTTTTAATGGATGTTGGTTATTTAAATCTGTATTGCCTAACTAACAGCAGCGACTAATGAACTGTTGAGGATGTACTGGAAAGGTGAGGAAACTCCGGACGAAGAGGACCCTTTTCCTTTTCCTGTATCTCTTTCTGACCTGTATCTCTCTCTCTGACCTGTCTTTCTCTCTGACCTGTATCTCTCTCTGACCTGTATCTCTTTCTGACCTGTATCTCTTTCTGACCTGTCTCTCTCTCTGACCTGTCTTTCTCTCTGACCTGTATCTCTCTCTGACCTGTATCTCTTTCTGACCTGTATCTCTTTCTGACCTGTCTCTCTCTCTGACCTGTCTCTCTCTCTTTGACCTGTATCTCTCTCTGACCTGTCTCTCTCTCTGACCTGTATCTCTCTCTGACCTGTCTTTCTCTCTGACCTGTATCTCTCTCTGACCTGTGTCTCTCTCTGACCTGTGTCTCTCTCTGACCTGTATCTCTCTCTGACCTGTATCTGTCTCTCTGACCTGTATCTATCTCAATTCAATTCAATTCAAATTAGCTTTATTGGCATGAATGTGTAACAACAATATTGCCAAAGCATCATACATAAAACATAAGAGCAATCAACCCCATACATTTCATTAAACAAGTAATTAAAGTGTAAAGTAATCAAAGCGTATGTGTGTTTGTGTTTGAAAATATATATATATTAAAAATAAAAATAAATAAAACAGTAACCGTGTGTGTGTGTCAAAAAAATAAATAAATAAATAAATGAAACAGTAAGTGTGTGGGTGTTTGTGTGTGTGTGTGTGTGTGTGTGTGTGTGTGTTAACAAAATATATCTTAAAAATTAAAATAATAAATAAAACGGTAAGCGTGTGCGCGTGTGTTTGTTAAAATATATATATATATTAAAAATTTTAATAAAATGCATAAATAAAACGGTGAGCATGTGTGTCTGTATGTTAAAAAATAAAAAAATATATAAAAAATTAAAAATTTTAATAAAATAAATGAAACAGTAATGTGTGTGTGTGTGTGTGTGTGTGTGTGTGTGTGTGTGTATTAATAGATAAAAAAAATTTTAATTATTAATTAATTAAAAAATAATAATAAATAAATAAAAAAAATCAGTATCAAATGTAAAAACAAAACAATTACTGAAATATCAAACAATCAAAATAATAATAATTTGAAAATCTGTACAATTGTTTATCAATCTGAGGTTCCACTGGTTGTCCTCACTTCATGGCATGAGGAGACATATTTTGCAGCAATTATTTCACATTTGGGCATTTCTCCTAGTAAATAGGGGAGTTTCTGTGTGTCTGATATGAATTTGAATTCGGGGTATATTTGGGAAATGTTTGCAAAGTGTTTTTTTCTTTGTGTTTTATATTTGGGGTATGAGGTTAGAAAGTGCAGCTCTGTCTCTACCTGTCCTCTGTCACACTGGGAGTCTCTCCTCTTGTGGTAGCCAGCTCTGCCTGTGGCGACCCTTTTCTATGGCCAGGCTGTGTTCACTCAGTCTGTATGTTGTCAACATTTTTCTTAGTTTGGGACATTTTAGTGTACTCAGGTAATTTGCCAGTGTGAATTCTCTTTTTAGGGTCAGATAACATTGTAATTTACTTTGTGTTTTGGTCGTTTCTTTCCACTATTCAATATATTTTTCTTTCTGCTTGCTGATAATTTGGTTTGGTCTGCTTGAGTTGGTGTTGCTGTCCTGAGGCTGTTGGGGACTTGTTACTGCAGAGAGCCTCAGGACCAGCTGGCTGAGGGGACTCTTCTCTGGTTTCAGCTCCTGGTATGTTAGGGCTTTGTGATGATATGTCTGGGGGTTAACTGATTTTAAGTGATTGTAAAATTTAAGTGATCTTTTCTGTATTTTTAGTAGGAGGGGGTATTGGCCGAGCTCTGCTCTGCACAGGTTATTTGGTGTTTTTCTCTGCACCTGCAGGATGCTCTTACAGAATCAGTATGGAAAGATTCTATGATTGTTTTATCCCATTTGTCAACTTCATTATTAAGTTTTGGCCCCCAGATTTCGCTACCATATAGAATTATTGGTTCTAGTACAAATTGGAAAATTTTAAGCCAGATTTCAATTGGAATATATATTTTAATGTTTCTTTTTATTGCATAAAAATCTCTCCTTGCTTTGTCCCTCAGATCTTTCACAGCCATGTTGAAGTTCCCTGTGTATGTAATGTTGCTCTTCTTAAAGAGCTTATAGTACCTTACTACCCCACCAGAGCACTGCGCTCCCAGAATGCAGGGTTACTTGTGGTTCCTAGATACTGGTGAGCCCATGGCACAGCCATGCTTCTGTCTGTAGAATCCACCGTTGTACTGGAAATAGGTGGTGTTTAGACAGAGGTCGAGTAATTTGCAGATTTGGTCAGGGCTGAGGCTAGTTCTGTTGTCCAGGGTGTTGTCTTGTGTTAGCCGTTTCCTAACGGTTTCTACTGCCTCTATGGTGGGGATGCAGGTGAACAAAGAAGTCACGTCATAGGATACCATGGTTTCATCTGGATCCAGTTTTAGTCCCCGAACTTTGTTTACAAAGTCAATAGAGTTTTGGACGTGGTGAGGCGTGTTTCCCACCAATGGAGCTAAGATAGCTGAGTTTCCCTGCCAGTCAGTCAGAACTGAAGAAGTCCTTCGGATGAGGGACGAAACGTCTTCCAGTATCTTCAACCAAGTCCAGTTGCCCTTGATTTTAACCTTCGTTGGATAAGGGTGGGGACTGCATTTCTGTGTAGGTGTATGTCATTATACAGGCAGTCCAGGTGCAGGGTCAGGTGGTGGGCCAAGAACACGTTGGGTTTGAGGGCACAGTCCCTGGAGAGTCTGATATTTGCTCTGTGAATAGTGTGGGGGTGGAAGTCTCTCCTGTGCAGCAGCGTGGATATGATTATCTTGCTGGTAGGGAAATTGGTGGAGGCTTGCTCAATGACTCTCGTCAGAGAGTCTGCCAGTCTGTCCTGCTGGGACCTGAAGTCGTTGGTGCCTGTATGAATGATGATGTGGCTATGTGAGCCTAGCTCAGGCACTGTTAACAGCTCCAGGGCTTTCCTGGTGTTGGGGCACCAGATCTTCTCCGTTCTGTGCCTTGGGAATAAGGTCTTTTCATCTAGGAACTTTCCATTAGAGTCCATGAGAAGGATAATGTCAGCCCTTCTGCCTGTGTGTGTTTGTTCAGTCTTAGCTGTCGGGTCTGGATGTGGAGCTGTGGTGGTAGCTGGAGGCTGGCTAGAGGCCAGGCCTTGGACAGGTGCAGGGGTGTGACTGGCGTCTTGGCTTGGGATGTTTGTATGGAGGCAGCTGGTCTGCACCAGGCTTCATGAGAGGGGGGGAGTCCTCGAGGAAAGGGCTGTGTTGTCCTTCAGCAGGTGTAGTGGGAGTTTGCCTGGATGTGGTATGGATCTGAGAGGTGGGCACAGGGGGTTGTGTTGAGTTCAGTCTGGCTTGTAGACTGAGCCTGTCCCTGTCCTGTAGCTCTTCTCTCAGAGTAGCCAACTCAGTTGTGCAGTTGTCTCTGTCCTTCCTAAGTTCCTTCACCTCCTCACTGAGATGGTCCAGCTGTCTTCTCTGACGAATTTGTTCTTGTTGAAACTCTCTCAGCTGTGAGTTGACACTATCCTGTTCTTTCTTGGCCTGGAAGTCAGTGACAGTAGGAGAGGTAGGCTGCTGCTGTCTCTGACCCCTCTCTCTTACCTGTCTGTCTTTGACCTGTATCTCTCTCTCTCTGACCTGCCTCTCTCTGACCTGTCTGTCCCTCTGCAGACGTTCATCGTGATCGGTAAAGGGAACATCATCTACAGGTTTAACGCTGAGCCGGCCTGTTACCTGCTGGGTCCGTTCAACCCGCTGAGGACCCTTGCCATCAAGATCCTCATTCACTCATATCCTTTATGATGTCACACTGTACTCCTTACTGATTGGTCAGTGAGGATAAACTTATTTACTGCCACAATGCACAATTGCTTTGATTAGCAGGTTATTGTTGGTTGTTCCTAACAATTAAAACTTTATTCAGTTTGTTCATCATGGTGACGATTCTGACCAACTGTGCGTTCATGACGATGAGCGATCCTCCAGCGTGGAGCAAGATTGTGGAGTGAGTCAACACACACACACCAATATACACACCAACACACGCCAGATGTGAGGTAGCAGTCAGAAGCTTTTTGAACATGGGATGAGCAGGGGTAAGAGTTAGGGGTATGGTTAGGTGTTTCTCAGTCAGCAATCTTGTCTCTACTTGTGTTTGTGTGAAATGTCATCAGTTGCAGCCAAAGTACCTTTCAAGTTCAAAAGTTTGCTTCTGGCCAAGTACAGTCAAATCCCAGGATGTTATATACACTGAACAAAATTATAAACGCAACACTTTTTTTTGCCCCATTCATCATGAGCTGAACTCAAAGATCTAAGACATTTTCTATGTACACAAAAGGCCTATTTCTCTCAAATATTGTTCACAAATCTGTCAAAATCTGTGTTAGTGAGCACTTCTCCTTTGCCGAGATGATCCATCCACCTCACAGGTGTTGCATATCAAGATGCTGATCAGACATCATGGGTACTGTGCAGGTGTGCCTTAGGCTGGCCACAATAAAAGGCCACTTGAAAATGTGCAGTTTCCCTGTATTGGGTTGGTCCAGAAACCAGTCAGTATCTGGTGTGACCACCATTTGCCTCACACAGTGCAACACATCTCCTTCACATAGAGTTGATCAGGTTGTTGATTGTGGCCTGTGGCGTGTTGGTCCACTCGTCGTCAATGGCTGTTGAAGTTGCAGTCAGGTCGAGACCCCGATGAGAACGACAAGCATGCAGATGAGCTTCCCTGAGACGGTTCCTGACAGTTTGTGCAGAAATTCTTTGGTTATGCAAACTGATTGTTGCAGCAGCTGTCTGGGTGGCTGGTCTCAGACGATCTTGGTGGTGAAGATGCTGGATGTGGAGGTCCTGGGTGTGGTTGTAATAGTCACCTATTCTGCCTTCATGTACAGCTTTTACCGTGATGGTAAACATGCATTGTGGATATTGGTTTTTCCTTCACATGTAAAAAAGGAACTGTGCTCACAGAGACCTGTGGGGTAGTCATGGATTGTTATAAGGACTTTCCTTTTATGTATTTTTTCCCCCTCATCACTGTTTTGAGAGTGATGAGGGGAAGTGTGGGAAGTGACGTTTGTGGGGAACTCTGGAGTGCAACAGGTGAAGTACTCAGAGTTTAGTGGTCTCTGTGTAATGCTTGCCAGACGAACACAACAAAGAAACTCTTTTTGGTGGATTACATGTTGGGACTTTTCTGGACTACAACATCATCCCATGGGCTAAACAGACTGTGACGAGGTTGCATAAGTTAACTGTGGAATATTGACTGTGGCGTCTCGTCATGCTTCACCTGGTATCTTTTTTGTGTTTTTTTCTTCCTATTCTTACCGCGGAGAACATCTAGTTCAATCCAGACAATTTTTTATTTGAATAAACATTTGATGTGGGGGGATATTGGGGTTTTGAAGGGTAAATGTGGGAAATGGTGATAATGTTTGCAATGTTTGTTTGATGTGTCGGAGTGCGGCTATGCCTCCAGCAACAAATACCTGTGTATGCTGCCCAATGGGGTCTAAACCTACTATATCTCTAAATACACGTTAAACCCACCATATGGACTTTTTTCATTAATGTACAATTTTGGTCAAGTGTATACAGTTGCAGTTTGAATGTTTTCCTGGCTTATGTAGGGTTTCTTTGACCAAAGTAAGCAGGCCACTGGCTGCAATCACCTCGGCAGGTACCAGATCTGCCTGTTAACTTATCAAGGGGAAAGTACATCACGCAAATATATGTAATATGGTGTAAGGCAAATTGTTACATGGTTACATGTGGTCTGCGGTTCTGAGGCCTGTTGGATGTACTGCCAAATTCTCTCAAACTCCTTTGGAGATGGCTTATGGTGGGGAAATGAACATTCAATTCACGGGCCACAGCTGTGGTGGACATTCCTGCAGTCAGCATGCCGAGGAGTGGCCTTTTACTGTGTCCCGCCTAAGGCCTTTTATTGTAGTCAGCCTAAGGCACACCTGTGCAATACTCATGCTGTCTGATCAGCATCTTGATATGCCACACCTGTGAGATGGATGCATTATCTCAGCAAAGAAGTGCTCACTAACACCGATTTTGACAGATTTGTGAACAATATTTGAGAGAAATAGGCCTTTTTTTTACATAGAGAAAGTCTTAGATCTTTGAGTTCAACTCATGGTGAATGGGGCAAAAACAAAAGTGTTGCCTTTATAATTTGTATGGTATATAGTTGTTTAAACAACAACAACTATTAATTTCGAACTTGCAAGTACAGAAGTGCAAACTTGGCGTACTCGGTATTGAGAAACACCCATAGTATCAAAGTTCAGGACTGACACTTCTTTCTCATTGGACACAAATCCATGATTTCATAGGAAATACAGATGACACGTCACTAAAGTTCAAAATGTTGTGGTGCTAATTAGCAGAGTTTCAGGAGTGGGACCACATATCAACCACATCATCACCAGCATTTCCATAAATACCCACACATCCCAACTGTTCTTCTTCACTCTCATATTCTGCACCCGAAATGAGACCAAGCAACAGCTCGTCCAGCACGTTACGCTAACACTGCTATGCCATACAAAGAATCATGACAAGGTACTCCATCTCTTCCACTTACCTCTTCATGATGTGTTGGTAAATTGCCATCAGACGATGAATTATTCTGAAGAACTCACAAAACATTTTCACTGTCTACGGCAACAGACCCAGCACCAGAAGAAGAACTCTTCTCTTCCGTCTCCATGTTGAGACCCTGTTTTCCACAATCATAAAGCAGGCCATCTCTTCCATGGTCCGCTTCATCTCAACAATCGAGAACATTTCACCTGAGAATCCTCCGCCTCACAAGAACAGCTGATCACAGCGTCACCCCGCTCCAGCAAGGCCCCGCGTCAAACAGTCTTTATAAACGATTTCAAAACGACTATAGCCACTTTTTTGAAAACTGTTGAAGATGAAAGAATCCCGTTTACAGAACAGTCAATACAGAAAACCTTTCAACACTATCATCAGCATGGCATGCCTACAGTTCCGTCAACACCAGCTCCCTTCTGCATTATTCATTACGCACGTCGTGACGTCAGTGCCACTGTTAAAGTGACCTGTGGTGGTTGTGACTGGTTAGTGCTGACGTACTGCGGTAAGCATGTTGACTCATTTCCGTTTCCGATGCTTGTGTGTTGGTAGCGTGTTTTGCTGCTCTCGCTAAATACCAGATAAATTTGTTAGATTTGTCATTACAGCAGCCAACTGTCCAATAAACACTTATTCTTACAGTAATTTTGCCTAAGCACTCACAGTTTTTTCCATCTTTTAGTGACTGCTGTTTAATCTCATAGTTGTTTTCAAAGGTTTTGGTAGCTAACGCTACAGTACTTTAGCTTGGCCGTTAGCAACTTTAGCTTAGCAGCTAGAGATGGCTTCTCCTTCTCCCTCTCTCTCTCCTACTTTCTCCTGCTCGGTGTGTCAGATGTTTAGTTACTCCTCTGCCTCCTTTAGCGGTAATGGTACGTGTAATAAGTGTAGTTTATTTGTAGACATAGAGCCGAGGCTCAGTGATTTAGAAGTCCGGCTCCGCACCTTGGTAGATCAGTCTTTAGCTACTGTAGCTAGCCAGTCCCCGGTAGTCGGTGCGGGCCGGCCTGAGTTAGCCTGTGGTAGCCGTCCTCCGGCATCCCCTGTGCAGCCAGGAAAGGGGGGCTGGGTGACTGTCTGAAGGAGGAATAGTCACCGACACACCTGCTGAGAAACCAACTCTGATCATTGGCAGCTCCATTTTGAGAAACGTGAAGTTAGCGAAGCCAGCAGCCATAGTTAAGTGCATCCATGGGGCCAGAGCGGGCGACACTGAGTCTTATTTGAAACTGCTGGCTAAGGATAAACGTAAATACAGTAAGATTGTTATTCACATCAGCAGTAATGACTCCCAGTTACGCCAATCGGAGGTCACTAAGATTAACGTTGAGTCGTTGTGTACATATGCAAAAACAATGTCGGACACCGTAGTTTTCTCTGGACCCCTGCCAAATCTGACCAGTGATGACATGTATAGCCGCATGTCGTCTTTCCGCCGCTGGTTGTCGAGGTGTTGTCCAGCAAATGATGTGGCCTTTGTAGATCATTGCCAGACTTTCTGGGGAAGACCTTGTCTGATTCGGAGAGACGGCATCCATCCCACTTGGGAAAGAGCACCTCTCATTTCTAGAAATCTGGCCAAGTTTATTAGTGGACCAAATCCATGACAACCCAGAGTTTAGACCAGGAGTTGCAGTCTAACACACTTCTCTGCCCTTCTATTTCAGAAGTTACCCACCCAAAACCCTACGCAGAGTCGCAGTCTAACACACTTCTCTGCTCCTCCATTTCAGGAGTTACTTAGTGAAAATCCTATAGTGACGGTGTCTGCCCCCCGACCATCTAATCACGCCAATTTTAATTTCAGTCCCTCTCAAATCGATCATCTTGTTGATAGTGCTGCAGGCTCGCTGCGAATGACTCGACTCTGTAGCCCCTCTAAAAAAGAAAATACTAAAACAAAGACGGTTAGCTCTATGGTATAATACTGAAACTCGCAAATTAAAGCAAATGTCGCAGAAACTTTGGTTCCACCAAACTGGAAAATTCTCGTTTAATTTGGCAAGATAGTCTTAAAACTTATAGGAAGGCCCTCCGTAATGCCAGAGCAGCGTACTACTTGTCACTAATAGAGGAAAATAGGAACAACCCCAGGTTTCTTTTTAGTACTGTAGCCAGGCTGACAGAGAGTCACAGCTCTATTGAGCCAAGTATTCCCATAGCTCTCAGTAGTTACGACTTCATGAGCTTCTTTAATGATAAAATTCTAACTATTAGAAAAAAAATTCACCATGACCTGCCTTTAACTGGCACAGACTTATTTCTAAACTCAGGAACCTTAGAAACAGCTGTAGAACCAGATACATGTTTAGACTGCTTTGCTTCCCTCAATCTCTACCAACTAACTTCTATAATTTCTTCATCTAAACCATCAACCTGCCTCTTAGAATCCATCCCGACTAGGCTCCTTAAAGAAGTTTTACCCTTAGTCAGCACCTCTCTACTAGATATGATCAATCTATCTTTATCAACAGGCTATGTACCACAGTACTTTAAAGTAGCTGTAATTAAACCTCTTCTGAAAAAGGCCAACCTTGATCCAGATGATTTAGCCAACTATAGACCTATATCTAACCTTCCATTTCTCTGTAAGATCCTTGAGAAAGCAGTCACCAAACAGCTGTGTGACTTTCTACATAGCAATAGTTTATTTGAGGATTTTCAGTCAGGAGTTTCATAGCACAGAGACAGCACTGGTGAAAATTACTAATGACCTGCTAATTGCATCTGACAAAGGACTTGTACTTCTGTACTGGTTTTATTAGATCTTAGTGCTGCATTTGATACCATTGACCATCATATCCTATAACAGAGACTGGATCATTTCATTGGCATTAAAGGAACCGCTCTAAGCTGGTTTAAGTCCTATTTATCAGATTGATTTCAGTTTGTACATGTTAACGATGAGTCCTCCATGCGCGCCAAAGTTAGTCTTGGTGTTCCACAAGGATCTGTCCTCAGACCAATCCTCTTCACTTTATATATGCTTCCTTTAGACAATATTATCAGGAAACACTCCATAAACTTTCATTGTTATGCAGATGATCCTCAGTTATATCTATCAATCAAGCCAGATGAAAGTCATCAGTTAGCTAAACTTCAAATGTGCCTTCAGGATGTTAAAACCTGGGTGACCTGTAATTTTCTAATGTTAATCTCAGATAAAACTGAAGTTATTGTTCTAGGGCCCGAGCACCTCTGTGACGCATTATCTAAAGATACAGTTTCCCTTGATGGCATCACCCTGGCCTCCAGCACCACTGTGAGGAATCTTGGAGTTATCTTTGATCAGGACATGTCGTTTAAGTCTCACATTAAGCAAATTTCAAGGACCGCCTTTTTTAACCTATGTAATATTAGAGAGAGATCACGTCTCCTCTCTTAGCTTCTCTGCATTGGCTTCCAGTAAAATCCAGAATATAATTTAAAATCCTTCTTTTCACCTACAAAGCTCTTAATGGTCAGGCACCATCTTATCTTAAAGAGTACCTTACTACCCCACCAGAGCACTGCGCTCCCAGAATGCAGGGTTACTTGTGGTTCCTAGAGTCTCCAAAAGTAGACTAGGAGCCAGAGCGTTCAGCTATCAAGCTCCTCTCCTGTGGAACCAGGTTCCAGTTTGGGTTCAGGAGGCAGACACCATCTCCACATTTAAGAGTAGGCTTAAGACTTTCCTCTTTGATAAAGCTTATAGTTAGGGCTGGCTCAGGTGAGTCCTGAACCATCCCTTAGTTATGCTGCTATAGGCCTAGACTGCCGGGGCAACCTCAGCAGAGGGAGTCAATTATTGGCACCGTCTCTCAGTTGTTTGGGTTAACATGCAGCTTTCAGTCATTTCGTGCCAACGTCCGGCTCTCAGTCGTTTCGAGCTTACAGTCGTCTCTAACCAACATGCGGCTAACAGTTGTCTCCAGCTAATATCCAGCTAACAGTCATCTTGAGCTAACATCCCGCTAACAGTCGTCTCGAGCTCACTGTCGCCCCACGCGCCGTTGTTTTGAACTAACATTCGGCTCACAATCATTATGTGCCATCATCCGGCACACACTCGTTCGAGCTCACAGTCAGCTCTAACATTCAGTGTCATCATTCGAGCTCAGTCATTTTGAGCCAACAGCATTTTCCAGCTAATGCGTTCCGAGTCGTCTTTACCTAAATTAATATAATCATCTCAAGTTTGCAGTTAAGTTGTCTTCAAGGTAAGTCAATTTGAGAAACGTTGAGCTAACAGTCACTTCGGGCGAACGTCGTGCTAACAGTCCTTCAACCCAACTGTCGTTTCAACCAATAGTTTCGAGTCAACAGTCGTTTCAGGTAACATCAAGCTCACAGCCGTGTCGAGCTAACATCCAGGTAACAGTTTCTTCGACCCAACATTCAGTCATGGCCACTTTGAGCTAACATCTGTCTCACTGTCGTTTTGAGCTAACATCCGGAACACAGTCATTTTGAGCGAACATCCAGCTCACAGTTGTTTCAAGCTAACAGTCGTTTCTAGAGAACATCGAGCTAACAGTCGCCTCGAGCGAATGTCGAGCTAACAGTCCTTCAACCCAATTGTCGTTTCAACCAAAATATTTTCGAGTCAACAGTCGTTTCAGGTAAAATCCGGTTCACAGTCGTTTTGAGCTAACATCTGGAACACAGTCATTTTGAGCTAACATCCAGCTCACAGTCGTTTCGAGAGAACATTGAGCTAACAGTCGTTTAGAGTGAACAGTCGTTTCAAACCAAGTCACCTTTTGTTCAAGTCACTATGAGCTCAGCCGCTTCAATTCCACGTCAAGTCAGTCGTTTCGCGTTAGTCTTTTGCATTAAAGTCGCTTCAAGCTTTCAGCCGCTTGAACTCCCAGTCACTTCGACATCTCAGTCGTTTCAGGCTCACATCGTGCATACAGTCGTTTGAAGCAAAAATTGTGCTAACAGTCATTCCAAACGAACAAGTCATTGTAAACCAAGTTGTTTCGAGCTCAGTCACTTCGAACTCGCCTGTTTCAAGCTCACATCAAGCTAACAGTCGTTCTGAGCTTAGGTCAAGCTAATAGTTGTCTCTGACCGAAGTCAACCCAAGCTAAAACACTCAGATCATGTTAAGTCGTCTTGCGCTAAAGTCTCTTCGAATGCTCAGTTGCTTCAAGCTCACATCGAGCACACAGTCGTTTCGAGCGAACATTCTCTTCAACTAAGTCGTTCAAGCAAACGGACCTTCGACAGTTGTTTCGGGCTAAAATCATTTTGAGTCCCAGTCCAGGGTTTGGGGGTTCTACAAGGATAGATTCACAGTGGAATGGTCGCCAAAACCTTAACATTAAAAGCATAGCTCTCTCTCGTGCTGGAGGCCAACTTAAAGAGCTCCCACCATGTCACAACTAGTACAGCGTAATCACATCACTCAGTCATCCCAATCCTTAGAAGCTACATTCACACCCACTCGGGTTTCACTTCCCTGCATCTCCCCTCCGTCTTGACCTTCAGCATCATACTCGCAATTGGGACTCATTCCCCAAACAACACTGCGTTCTAATTAAACCGAACCCTTGCAAGACCCTCGTGAACCAATTGCAACTATGGGATCCTACAGTATAACACGTCAGATCATCTCTGAGTCGGTTCCAGTGGTCCAGTGTGCCCCCACCTCATCCGCCAAGCATTCTCTCGTCATGCTTTTCTCCCATCCATTACCCCAGTCACTCCTTCAGTAGCTACCCTTTCAGCCTCCGACGTCATTCCCCAAGACCTGATACATATCATGCGCCACATGTCCTCCCAAACGTACCATCATCACACTCATTCAGATCTCAAAGATCTCAGATAAGCCAATGCCAGTGCTTACATAACTAGAAGCTTTTGGAGGTCCGTCGTGCCCAGGTGCGGCTTTCCCTATCGTAGCTTCCCCACATTTCTTTCGAATGTGTATTGAGCAGCCGCAAGCCTCGTACATCTTTCTGTCTAGATCATCAATCAATCATTTAATTGTACCTGTTGATTGTGTGGTTCTTGCTAATGAAAGTCCGGCTAAACCAAACCCTGCAGTGATTACCCCCTCAGTACGGCTCATTTGAACACCATTGGAACCACTCACAGGAAACTACCGTTGTGTCATTCAAAATAGTACTTACTATTATTACTGTACTAATTAATGTATTATTGTTGTTTTTTATACTTTTCAATGAACACATGAAGAGGAAATAAAAAGAAAGACAAAGTACTGCAGCAATCAAAAGCAGCAGGTGGTGAGTCAGCTTGGTTGGTAAACCTGTGAGACAGTAACCAGGTGTCCTAAGGCGAGCTCTGTGAGGACAGCCCTCCTGTGGAGCAGCTCGCTTGATCTTGATTTTCAATAAAGAGAAAGACTACAATCAAAATGTGAAAGAGATAATATAAAAATACTATAACATCAAAGTCAGCTTGTGTTAGCCAAGGTTAGAGTTACCCAGGGTAAGGAGTACCCAGGGTTGGAGGTACCCAGGGTTAGAGTTACCCAGAGTCAGGGTTATCTGGGGTCAGGGGTACCCAGAATTAAGGTTACCCAGGTTTAGAGTTACCCAGGGTTAGGGGTGTCCAGTTGTTTGTGTTTGTTAGAGGGAGATGACAGGACTTTACCCTAGAAAACATCCTGTTTACAAAAGGTTTCACTTTCTGTAGACTCTCAGTTCGACATATTTTTCTGTTTTTAATGATTCCGAATGTTTTGCCTGTCGTCAACAGATACGTGTTTACATTCATTTACACATTCGAAGCAATGACCAAAGTTCTGTCCAGAGGATTCTGTGTCGGAGATTTCACTTTCCTCAAAGACCCCTGGAACTGGCTGGATTTCATGGTCATCAGCATGGCGTAAGACTCAGTCACTCATTCATCATAGAGTCAAATATTGATGAAGATGACGATGTTAATGTTGACGTTGATGATGTTGATGATGATGAAGATGGCTCTCTCTCTCTGTTTCAGATACCTGACTGAATTTGTAGATTTGGGAAATGTTTCTGTGTTGAGGACGTTCAGAGTTCTTCGAGCTCTGAAGACCATCACTGTGATCCCAGGTGTGTGTGTTATTGTGTTACTGTGTGTGTGTATTTCTGTGTGTTACTGTGTGTGTGTGTGTGTGTGTGTGTGTGTGTGCCATGTCTGATTTTAGAAACAGTCTGCATCGATTGTATTTATAATTCTGATTGGTCCCCCCCCCCCCCAGGTCTGAAGACGATAGTCGGAGCTCTCATGCAATCAGTGAAGAAGCTTGGTGATGTCATGATCCTGACCGTGTTCTGCCTCAGTGTCTTCGCTCTGATTGGCCTGCAGCTCTTCATGGGAAATCTGCGGCAAAAATGTGTCGTCAACCCAGCGCTGTTGCTTAGCAACCACACGTCTGACAGTGACTTAAATATTGGTTTCCGTGACAACAACACCCACGCCAACACTACAGGAAGTGGCGACTTTGATTTTAATGAACACATCAACAATCCAGGTAAGATAAAGACAAGCTGCTCTCTAATTGGCTGTTGACATTGACTCATTTAGCACGCCTCTGGAGCAATGAGGGGTAAAGTGTCTTGCTCAGGAACACAATGGGGAATTGAACCCATGTCTCTCACACCAAACGGATGTATCTTATCCATTGCACCATCACCACCCCTGTTAGTAGGTGAAATGCACCATGGGAGTTAAAGTTGACTTCTCTCCTTCAGGTTTCATCCAGATCTTTTCTCTTTGGTTTCATGTCATCCCAAACTGAATATGAGGAACATGAACCAGGACCTCCAACTCTGTAACTACAGGTCACAGAGAAGTTTACGGGGTTCTGATCGGGAGGACTAACGCGGATTATAAGCAAAGAGAGGTTTACGGGGTTCTTATAGGCAGGGAGGTTATTTAAAGATTATGGGGCATGAGAGGAAACGGCAGTGCAGCCAGCTTTAAAACTCTAGGCAAGCTGGGACATTGTTGATTGAATACAAGACCCAGCATAGCCCGGCAATCTGACCACCATGCGTCAGCACTGGGACGGAATGATGCAGGTGATGAGCGGCACCTGGTTTCCCTCAGACATTCTTAAGCTGATGATACACGGGGCAACTTTTTGAGCAATCTTGCTGGGCAATCTTGCTAGTGGCAAGTCTAACGATGTTTTGAATGGATAGCGGCGGGGCGGGGCGGGTGGCAGAGTGGTGGGGAAAGAAGATTACGGTAGTAATCTTTACTCATTACCATTGACGGCAATGTTGCCCTGCACAATTGCTGCACGATCTGCCTCCACCGGTTGGGAGTGACAGAGAGAATCAGAGAGAGAGAGAGGGCGAGAGAGAGAGAGAGAGAGAGGGGAGGGAGGCAGCCTGCACAATATCCACACAGAGGTACAGACAGTAACGGTGATGTTAATTCGTTCGTAATGTTAATGATTATAATAACAATAATAACAATAGGACTAGTAACAATAGTCGTTGCAGCAGAGGGTGTCGAGCAGGAACACGGGGGCAGCAGGTGACCTGCAACCACAGATCCAGACTCCACAGCTCCAGAGCCAGAAACACCTGCAGGAAGTGATAGGAGGAGAGAGGAGAGAGACGAGAAAGCACAAGACTACCGGAAAGGGGAGAAGTTGTGTTAGTAACATGCAATAATGGGATGAGGTTGCATACAGAGGGAGAGAAAGTAGAGGAGAGAGGAGCTCAGTGCATCATGGGAAATCCCCCGGCAGTCTAGGCCTATAGCAGCATAACTAAGGGATGGTTCAGGACTCACCTGAGCCAGCCCTAACTATAAGCTTTATCAAAGAGGAAAGTCTTAAGCCTACTCTTAAATGTGGAGATGGTGTCTGCCTCTTACTACAAACCTCAGGGCCAGTTACATTTATGTGTATGCATATAAATAGTAATATAGATCTATATAGTTTGTTTTATTTATCATATGTCACCTGTTGCTGAGAAGAACCGTTCATCACCTGTTGAAACGGATAAAATAATTGCACTTGAAAAAGAAAAAGTGAAAATGTTTGTGTCACAGTTCTGAGGTGGTGGGTGTGTGTTTTTAATGTTTCCTGTTTTAATTTGTAGTTATCTGCCTCCAGTGACATTGTCTTGTTTTACTTCCTGTGGACCTGTCTCATTCCCCTGATTGTCCTCACTTCACCTTGTCCTCACCCCCTACAGTGCACACAAAAGTTACTTTGTGATTTATGTTTTGTTAATCATGTCTGCTTGGAATATGGTGTTTTTTTATTGGTAATTGTCATTCTTGTGGTGGTTTACTAGTGAAACCAGGATTGAAGTGCCTGTTTCATTTGATAAGAACCACTGCATTGATAGGTATTCAATAGCATAGTGGTAAAGAAACAGTCCTCAGAATACTACTTCCTGTGCCTGACATTGGTTTGATTCACGATACTAATATATTATAAAATTTACAGAGCTGTTTGTTGTTAGAACTTGATGCTAACAAAATGTGGTGTCCTTACTGACTTTCAGTGGTTAGTTGAAAAAATGTTGTTAGTCTTTTTAAATGCAATCATTGTTTACATGATATTAAGTCTTTCACAGCATAATTCTTTGGCTGTTTATTTTATTCTTCAACAGCAGAGTAGACATCACAGAAAATATGTTTATAAGCAAAACATGCCTTCTATTGGTGCTTAGGAGGCATTTTTTTGTCAGAATAAGACACACGATAGACAAAGAAACTTGAAAGCCTTCCCTTCACAGTGTATCTGAGTAGTCCGGTGGTTTAGGTCTTGCTCTTGCTCCGGATCTAGAGATTGATGGATCAAACCCCGCTCCCAGCATGTTAAGGGGCAAAACTTAACACATATATTTGCTGAACAAGTGTGCAGCACATCATGGAGTCTCTTAGCTGATGGAGCTGCACATTGCACCGACAACGATAGCAATCGCAAAAAAAATAGCTGTCAGCTCTCACACGCATTTTCTTAAGGAAATGCCCATTCTTCTATTTTCAACTGTTAACTACTCATTCATACTTTCAGCTAGAAACTCCATTCAAAATTGAAAAGTTTCCACATCTTTCTTATTCAACTTTCAAATCCTATTCAAACTCTTCAAGCTATTCAACTTTCTTTGAAACTTTGATAGAATGAAAGTCAATGAGAAAATCTTTCAAACTCACTCATCTTCAACCTCTTCCCACTCATTCATACATTCACGTAGAAATGCCATTCCACTTTTAAAACATTAGTTAATTCAACTTTTTCAAGTTTCATACTTTTTACACAATCTCAAGTAAAGTTTCATGTTGCTTTCAGCCTGTTTTCTGAGTTTATAATGAGTTTCTTTTGGACAAAATGTTCCCAGCCTGAGTGAGAGGACCAACTGACACAGTGGGAATTCACTTCAAAATATTCATAAAAAATGTCTTCAACTCGCTGTTTCTCCCACAGCTTTCACTCTACATACATCATTTTTTCACAAATTGTAGGAACACTTGATCTACCACTAATGTGTGACTTTGAAAGCAATCAGACTTACACAGCTGACACAGTCATCTTGAAAGTGAGAGCATCGCCAGCCAACTGCCGCATAGACTCTCATAGTAAATCAGACCTGAAGTTTATCACAGACTTACTGTCCAGCAGCAAGCGGCATGTGACTGACTCCAGGACCGTCACCACTGGTTCCCTTCAAGGCCATGTTCTTTGACCTCTGCTCTCCTCCCTAAACACCAACAGCTGCACCTCCAGTCACCAAACCACCAAGCTCCTGTAGTGTGCAGATGACACCAGCCTCACTGGGCTCATCTCTTGTGGGGATCAGTCCACCCACAGGTGGGAGATTGAGCATCTGGGGTCCTGGAGCAGCCAGAAAAATTTGGACCTCAATGCTCTGAAGACAGTGGAGATGGGCGAGTATTCCAGGAAGAGCCCAGCCGTACCCATCCCCATCAATCTGTGCAACTCCACACTCAACACCGTGGAGTCATTCTGCTCACCCTGGACCTCCAGTTGGAGTTGATTCGCTTATGTCACCTTTCATATCCCTTTCTAAATATTTCAGGTCATATCTTCACAACACTTGGGGGAGTTTCTCACATTTCTTCAACTTCTTCATGGCTGTCAGCTAAAAACTACATTAAAACCTTAAAATGTTCTACATTTATCAGTGCAGTTTGAAGTTTATTCAACTTTAAAATCTTATTCATATTCTTTAGAACATTTCCCATGTTTCGAAGATTTCATAGTCCTTCAGCTACTTTCTGCACATTAAAGCCAGCAATGCAGTTTAGCGTCAGCTTTTCAACACTCCTTAAAACCTTCCACATCTTTCATACATTTGTACTATTCAAATTTGTTAAAGACAGCAATTCAGTTTAGCATCAGCTTTTCAACAAAACTTTCCACTTCTTTCATACATTTGTACTATTCAACTTTATTCAAGCCAGCAATTCAGTTTAGCGCAAGCCATTCAGCAGACAGCATTCACACCGCAACTTCTAGAAATTGCTTTTCTAGTTGCATATTATTCTTCCGTCACGTTTTTTTGGACCGTAACTAGTCCCCCAGCTTTTGACGTAGAAACTCCATTCAAACTCCAAGTTTTCCGGTTCAATGAGAAATGGGGTGCTATTACTTTTGTCATTTATATTTATTTATATTTATATTTTCCAGGAAGATTTTCCCATTCTAAGTGAATGGAGAGACTTCTGAAATCCTCCTCATTCAATTCAATGTGTGAGTAGTTAAAAAAATAAAAATATATTAAAAATAAAATAAATAAATGAAACAGTAAGCGTGTGTGTGTATGTTAAAAAATAAAAAATATATATAAAAATTAAATAAATAAATGAAACAGTAACGTGTCTGTGTGTGTGTGTGTGTGTGTGTGTGTATTAATAGACAAAAGATTTTTTTTAAATAATTGATTAAAAAATAATAATAGAATAAAATAAAGAAATCAGAATCAAATGTAAAAACAAAACAATTACTAAAATATCAAGCGATCAAAATAATAATAATTTGAAAATCTGTACAATTATTTATCAGTCAGTGAGGTTCCTCACTTCATGGCATGAGGAGACATATTTTGCAGCAAATATTTCACATTTGGGCATTTCTCCTAGTAAATAGGGGAGTTTCTGTGTTTCTGATATGAATTAGAATTCAGGGGAATATTTGGGAAATGTCTGCAAAGTGTTTTTGTCTTTGTGTTTTATATTTAGGGCATGAGGTTAGAAAGTGCAGCTCTGCCTCTACCTGTCCTCTGTCACACTGGGAGCAGAGTCTCTCCTCTTGTGGTAGCCAGCTCTGTCTGTGGCGACCCTTTTCTATGGCCAGGCTGCGTTCACTCAGTCTGTATGTTGTCAATATTTTTCTTAGTCTGGGACATTTTATTGTGCTCAGGTAATTTGCCAGTGTGAATTCTCTTTTTAGGGTCAGATAACATTGTAATTTACTTTGTGTTTTGGTCGTTTCTGTCCACTATTCAATATATTTGTCTTTCTGCTTGCTGATAATTTGGTTTGGTCTGCTTGAGTTGGTGTTGCTGTCCTGAGGCTGTTGGGGACTTGTTACTGCAGAGAGCCTCAGGACCAGCTGGCTGAGGGGACTCTTCTCTGGTTTCAGCTCCTGGTATGTTAGGGCTTTGTGATGATATGTCTGGGGGTTAACTGATTTTAAGTGATTGTAAAATTTAAGTGATCTTTTCTGTATTTTTAGTAGGAGGGGGTATTGGCCGAGCTCTGCTCTGCACAGGTTATTTGGTGTTTTTCTCTGCACCTGCAGGATGCTCTTACAGAATCAGTATGGAAAGATTCTATGATTATTTTATCCCATTTGTCAAATTCATTATTAAGTTTTGGCCCCCAGATTTCGCTACCATATAGAATTATTGGTTCTAGTACAAATTGGAAAATTTTAAGCCAGATTTCAATTGGAATATATATTTTAATGTTTCTTTTTATTGCATAGAAAGGTCTCCTTGCTTTGTCCCTCAGATCTTTCACAGCCATGTTGAAGTTCTCTGTGTATGTAATGTTGAGGCCAAGGTAAGTGTAGTTTTTTGTGTGTTGTAATAGTTAGTGGTGTCTAAATATAAATTGTGTGTAACCTGATTTCTGTATTGTTATCTTAGTCTTTGCTGTGTTTACTGTCAGGGCCCAGGTCTGACAGAATCTCTGAAGGAGGTTAAGGTGCTGCTGCAAACCTTCTTTAGTAGGTGAGAGCAACACTAAGTCATCTACATACAGCAGACCTCTGATCTCTGTGTCGTTCAGGAGGAGGCCAGGTGCCGTGGAACTCTCTAATTGGTTTGCTAATTCATTGATATATAGATTGAAGAGAATTGGACTGAGATTGCATCCCTGCCTCAATCTGTCTCTATTGTAGAGCTGGTTACCTTGGTGACGTAAATTAGCTGATTAAAGATCAAAGAACTGGGTCCTCTGTCCTGCTTGGTGGAATGAAGTTAAACTAGTTTGTGTACTCTTCACTGAACACACACACACACACACATTAAAGGAGACTTTAATTAGGCTTCTTATATTTTCTGTCTTATGTATAATGTTTCAGTGTCAGATGTTCATGTTAAACATGGCCAAAGCTCTACTCTTGGCTCTTAATGATGTCATACAGAGCTAGTTTTCCATATATGGTCATTTGCATGCAGCCTCAATAGCAAATCCTATGCTTGGTTTGTCTCTACCACTGAGCGGCATAATCATCCTGCTTCAGGATCTTGGCCAATCAGAACACAGTGGGCTTTTGGAGGGGGGAGGGGGGAGCTTAAAGAGACAGGAGCATCTACTGCTTGTTTAAAACAGAGGCTGAAATGAGAGCTTGCATGAAATTTAGCAATCTAGTTTAATATCAGCCTTCAACAGCCAGCATTCACACCGCAGTTTCTCCAGAAATTGCACTGTCTAGTCATTTTTGATGTTTCTTTAATTTATAAATTACTTTGCAGGACTGCTTTGTGGGACGCTTCACCCCTCCGGTGTTAGAGAAGAGAGCTGACATGTTTTAATCTTTCTGTGTGTCTGACAGAGAATTACTACTTCCAGCCCGGGCAGCTTGATGCTCTGCTGTGTGGAAACAGTTCTGATAGCGGGTATGTCCACATAACGCCTCCGATAAACACAGAATCATAATAATGATGTTAAATAATAATGCTGAAGGTGATGTTTTCAGGGTCTGTCCGGAGGGTTACGTCTGTCTGAGAGTGGGGAGAAACCCAAACTACGGCTACACCAGCTACGACACGTTTGGTTGGGCGTTCCTGTCTCTGTTCAGACTGATGACCCAGGACTTCTGGGAAAACCTCTTCCATCTGGTCAGTAACTGGTCCCAGTACAGTGACTGTGACATTGTGACTATTTATCAGCTTTTCAGCAGGTCAGTGAGCACCTGCCCTGACTTGTTACACAGGCATGGGCACCGTATAGGGGGGAAAAGTTAGGACAATTCCAAAAAATAATTATAAACCTATATCAAATTATATTAATTATATGTTATATAAACCATCATCACTGAGTATAAATATATTCAAATATAATAATCAAATAAATGATCACTTTGTTTTTGGCAATAAAAATTAAATATCCCCGTTGTCCAAAAAGTAAAAATCCACATTGAACGACCACCCCCCTGTATGTGCATGAAATGGTTTGGTCCTGCCTCAGCATACTTATCAGTGACAGTGTTTAGTTGCAGTCAGTAGATGAGCCAGAAACACAATGATAACAATATTGTCTAGTAACCAAGATCTGTTTTTTAAAAACAGTAAAGAGAGAAAAGACAAAGGAAAGGATGTCAATCTGTGGGCAGCCTTTAGTCTGTGAGTGGTGTTAACCTGTTGGCTTAATGTCCACAGTGAAATAAGCTAGCTAGCTACAGACTAGAGTTAGCCTACATTTCATCAACATTTAATCAGTGCATGGAAACATTAAGTGAGATATTCATATTAAATCATTGCCCCCGCCCCTTTTAGCAGACTAACAACAGATGAGTCAGCAGCAGCCCAGTCTGCCCAGAAATGTAGCCTCCCTGTCCCGTGAAGAAGGTGAGCAGCATGGTGTTAATGAGTTAGTATCGTTCCAGGGAGGCTGTGGGGATTTCTCTGGCTCTCTGGCTACCATAACAACAAAGAAAATTAAATATTTATTAATGACAGAAATTCAAACACTAATTATTTTCTCCCATAATGATCAGTATGAAATAAAATAAAAAAACACCTTCCTGTCTGTACTGGATGCTGGACAGCAGCTTACCTCAGCCTGCATGTAAATTAAAATAATCCAGTTTGATACGTTCATTATACTGAATTATGGCCATTAATGACATCTATAGCTACAGGATTTATTATTCCCATCATGAAGGGCAATTTATTTGAGAAGCAAATAGTGAACTGCATCCTGGATGCAGACTTGCATGTGCAAATCACAGCAGTAAATACTGTGCTAGTACTGAACTACAAGAAGCCAGACACTTGATTAGAGTTATGTAAAGCTTTTAATGGGACAGTTAGGTCCTATAGATGCGGTGACCACAGCTGCGCAGAGGGGGCCCAATTTGAGTTTTTTGTCATGGGGCCCAAAATTCCTGGTGGCCCCCCTGTAGACAGGTAAAGGTTTTCACTCTTGTTCTTGGACTCTGACACAGAGCATAGAAAGAGCAGTGATTTGCAGGCAGCCAATCTGAGTGGAGGACATGAACAAGTAAACAGGTGTCCTCTCAGATTTATGGTAAAACACACTGGGCTCTTTGACTCATTTATGCTCTCAAAGTAAAACTTTCAGTTTCAGTAAAAATCAAGAATGAAAACATCTAATTCACCTCTCTTACCTGTCCCCCTCTCTTACGTGTCCCTGTCTCTAACCTGGCTCTGTCTGTCTCCCATCTGTCGGTCTGCAGACGCTGCGATCAGCAGGTAAGACCTACATGATCTTCTTCGTGGTGGTCATCTTCCTCGGCTCGTTCTACCTCATTAACCTGATCCTGGCCGTGGTCGCCATGGCGTACGCTGAACAGAACGAGGCCACTCTGGCTGAGGCCAAACAGAAGGAGGAAGAGTACACTCAGCTTCTGGAGGCGCTGAAAAAGAGAGAGGAGGAGGTCCGACCCGACAGATGACACAATAATCGATCAGTCAGCTGACAGTAAACACACAGAGCTGAACGTCTTCTTCTTTATTATAGCAGGCAGCCTGCAGGGCAGCGCTCTCAGAGGAGGACCAAGAACACACTGCCATGGAAGGTACACACACACACATACACACACACTAATGACATGGAAGGTACACACACACACACCAATGACATGTAAGGTACACACACACAATAATGACATGGAAGGTACACACACAAACACACACACACACACACACACACACTAATGGCATGAAAGGTACACACACACATACACACACTAATGACATGGAAGGTACACACACACACACATACACTAATGACATGGAAGGTACACACACACACATACACACACTAATGACATGGAAGGTACACACACACACACACATACACTAATGACATGGAAGGTACACACACACGCACACATACACTAATGACATGGAAGGTACACACACACGCACACACACACACACACACTAATGACATGGAAGGTACACACACACACACACACACACACACACACTAATGACATGGAAGGTACACACACACACACTAATCCAGTCTCACATGTACATGTCTGTAACTTCGCTGGTTCGCAGCACATAATTTGGAGTTTGTCAGTAACGGCTCTTAAACTGTGAGATGCCTGCGTTCTGTCCTGTGCTGTCCTTTCCTATTGGCCTGCGTCCACGTCACATGACTGCCAAGGTAGTGTCTCTAATAACAAATGGCCGACTTTCTGTCTTTTCCTTATGTTGGAAGGCTTTCCTCTTGTGCTGTATTATCTTGTGTTGTGTTTCTTCTGTTTCCTGTATGACTCTGTAAATGTGCTTCCTTTCCTTTTCCAGTTATATGTTGTTTCATTTTAGACTGCCTCACTGTTTACCTTAAGTTTTCACCCGTTGTAATAATAAATCTCACTAAGTAGACCTCCGGATACTCATGTCTGAGTCAGGGTCCAAAGGACCCCGTTTCCTATGTTTAACACACCGGCTCAGAGTAAAATACTTTAAGATAACTTGATTAAAAAAAGATTTACATAATCTTTGTTCAGTGAAGTATGATCTTTAGTTTGTTAGTTATTACTTACAGGGCTGGCCAGGAAACTTCAGTGCAACATTTTTGTTGCTATAGTGGAAAACATGTTGTTTAAATCCGAAGATGTTTTCACGCTTTGATTTGTTTCTCAGCTGGGAACACTATCTCTGAGATGGAACAATGTCTGTGTGAAAAGCCACAGCCAGCATGGCGTGTTGTGTTACATGTAACGGTCTTTGTCTACACCGCTGGTTCCAGAAAGCCGGATTATTTTGTAACAGTACACATGATTGTGGGATAATGCCACAAACATTTGTTTAGTATGAATGAGCGAATGCGGCTTATTATTGGACATTCTATCTACATTTATTTTGGGATCTCTGTGTGAAAGCAGCTTAAGACAAGAGGAAGTAACTGTCTTGAAGTTGTGAGGACCAGCCAAAATGTCTTCACTTTCCAAAAATGTCCTCACTCTGTTGGTTAAAATCTTGTTCCGGTCCTCACTTTGTAGGAAGTTGTTCAAATACATAGTTTTAATTAAATGGCAGGTTTCACCCCCATGCCACTCTAATAATTAATAAAAGAGCCCTTCATAAAATGAAATCATCTTTCAACATAGAATAATAGAATGATGGAATAAAATCAATAATGAGCCACGCTTTCCAGTAATAAAGCACTCCAACAACTCTATCCATTTGAAATAAATTACAGTTTTGTAAAAGATGATGCAAAATGGACTGGCTTTTCCATAGGAACGGTGGCTGATGGGTAATTTTGCCTTCTGATATCCAAAACTGACCAATAATTACTTTAGGGGAAATAATTAAAACTGAGGGCCATAAGATCATCCTATGGTACTACTGAATTCGCAAGGACACTTCCATGTGTTTATGTTGAGAAATATTTCCAACTCATCGACAGCACTAAACCTGAACCTTTTTCTCTGAACCATAAATTTCTGTTTCGAAAGGCTGGGGGTCAAACTGCCTCTGTAGAGGACAAATATGAGATGGTCTTTTGGTGAAGATATTTCGAGTGCATCATCTCTCTAACCTGCTGTGTATTTCAGACTTTGAAGACGACCAGAGGCCGTGTCCTCCATGTTGGTACACCTTTGCTGACATCTGCCTGAAGTGGAACTGCTGTGGCTGTTGGCAGTGGCTCAAACAGTGGCTCTACACCATTGTCATGGACCCATTTGTTGACCTCGGCATCACCATCTGTATTGTCCTCAACACAGTTTTCATGGCCATGGAGCATTATCCAATGACAGAGGACTTTGAGGAACTTCTGAGTGTTGGAAATCTGGTCAGTGATGAAGAGAAGTCAGTAAATTGTTATAGACACTGTAGAACCCATGGAGTCTCTTGATCTAAACCCTCTGCCAAGGGTCAGGGGTAGGGTGACTCTTGCCATCTGGTGGTGAGAGAGACAAGTTAACTGAAAATATGAAACCTTTCAAACCCTGTAACTTCGTAAAAACATACTCAAATAGAAGTTAAAGTAGTTGTAAAAGTAAGATACGCATGTTTATACTGTAATTACTTCACCAAAATGCTAGTTGGCATGGTTTCTGTGATCAACTGTGTTGACTTCCGCCGGCCAAGCAGGCTAACTTCCAGTTTAGCCCTCCGCTAACTTGAATGTGAGTAAAATGATAATTGTTGGGCTCTTCTAGATATTCCAAATGTTATCAGACCTAAAGGATCAAATTCGGGGTGAGACGGTAAAAAAAAATGTCTTTGTAACAAGTCAGGGCAGGTGTTCACTGACCTGCTGAAAAGCTGAAAAGCTTACACAATGTAAGTCTATGGGAAATGTCTGGTTTGGCAATTACTAAAGCTGGCTTCAAAGCACGGAGAAAATGTGATGCTGCCAAGCCGACCAATCACAGTTCTTGTGCGCCGGGCTAAGGCATAGGCTACTGAGTAGGGTTCACAGCTATACGTAGGCTACAGCGTACCAATGGCATAGATTTGATGCAGAACTATAAATTGGGCTGAACTACTTGAGTTTGACCACACTTAAGTGAAAATTTTGACACACTTGTTCCAACTTCTTTCATTTGATGTTTATGTCAAATTAAATTGTATTTACATAGTGCCAATTTGAAACAAAAGGTATCTCGTTGCACTTTTCATATAGAGCAGGTCCAGACCGTACTCTTTGTAAAATTATTTACAGAGACCCAACAATTCCCACCAGGTGAAAAAAGGCAGTCCTTGAAATTTACTTAATGTTAGACTTAAACGACATGTCCTGATCAAAGATAATCCAAGATTCCTCACAGTGGAGCTGAAGGCCAGGGCGACAGCATCCAGGGAAACTATATCTTTAGATAATGTGTCACGGAGGTGCTTGGGCCCCAGAACAATAACTTCAGTTTTATCTGAGTTTAACATTAGAAAATTACAGGTCATCCAGGTTTTAACATCCTGAAGGCACATTTGAAGTTTATCTAACTGATGAGTTTCATCTGGCTTGATCAATAGATATAACTGAGTATCATCTGCATAATCATGAAAGTTTATGGAATATTTCCTGATAATATTGCCTAAGGGAAGGATATATAAAGTGAAGAGGATTGGTCCGAGCACAGATCCTTGTGGAACTCCATGTCTAACTTTGGCGTGCGTGGAGGACTCATCGTTAACATGTACAAACTGAAATCGATCTGATAAATAGGACTTATGGCCCATTTATACTCCTGTGTAGGTTCTACGTGCGTAGCTACGCCATAGGCTACATGAATTTATACTTCTGCATTATGTTTCGGTCATTCTGCAATTACACCCCCAAACACTAGTCGGCGGTAGCGCTACAGCATCCACTGTGTTGACTTTTGCTGGGCGAGCAGGCTAACTTCCGGTCTAGGGCTCCACTAACGTGAATGGGGGTAAAATTGTAAATGTGCGGCTGGTGTAGCATTTTCAAATATTACTGACCGAGTGGATCACATTCTGATAGTGAAACAAGTCATTTCCCTCGGGTTGTGACGGTGAAATATATTGATCCAACATGTTACAACCGCTGTTGGCTCGGAGGCATTAAGAGGCTACCCAGCCGACTAATCACAGTGCTTGATCATTGATTTAACGCAGAAGTATAAATTGCACTTTAAACCAGCTTAGAGCGGTTCCTTTAATGCCAATGAAATGTTCCAGTCTCTGCAATAGGATCTGATGGTCAATGGTATCAAACGCAGCACTAAGATCTAATAAAACCAGTACAGAGACAAGTCCTTTGTCTGATGCAATAAGGAGGTCGTTAGTAATTTTCACCAGTGCTGTCTCTGTGCTATGATGAGCTCTAAATCCTGACTGAAAATCCTCAAATAAACTATTGCTATGTAGAAAGTCACACAGCTGTTTAGCAACTGCTTTCTCCAGAACCTTAGAGAGAAATGGAAGGTTAGATATAGGTCTATAGTTGGCTAAAACATCCGGATCAAGTTTGGGCTTTTTCAGAAGAGGTTTAATTACAGCTACTTTAAAGTACTGTGGTACATAGCCTGTTGATAAAGATAGATTGATCATATCTAGCATAGAAGTGCTGACTAAGGGTAAAACATCTTTAAGCAGCCTAGTCGGGATGGGGTCTAAGAGGCAGGTTGATGGTTTAGATGAAGAAATTATTGAAGTTAGTTGGTAAAGATTGAGTGAAGCAAAACAGTCTAAACATATATCTGGTTCTACAGCTGTTTCTAAGGTTCCTGAGTTTAGAGATAAGTTGGTGCCAGTTGAGGGCAGGTCTTGGTGAATTCTGTTTCTAATAGTTAGAATTTTATCATTAAAGAAGCTCATGAAGTCGTAACTACTGAGAGCTATGGGAATACGTGGCTCAATAGAGCTGTGACTCTTTTCATAAGAGCGCTGTGATGGTATGTGAATGCTATGTTGTTCCTATTTTCCTCTATTAAAGACGAGTAGTACGCTGCTCTGGCATTTCCAGACTGGTAAAACGTCATTTCCTTTCAAGTTTTTGCAATCTTTGCTTTAAATTGCGAGTTTGGGGGTTATACCACAGAGCTAACCTTCTTTATTTATTTATCTTCTATGTTAACAGGGCAACAGAATCAAGTGTCATTTGCAATGAACTCTCTGACAGAAGCCAATTGAAACTAACAATGAGATAAACACAGTACTAAGGCTATGTTTGTCTGTGCCTACATGAATATTAAAACCATCTACAATAATGACTTTGCTTGATGACATATCAACAACAGATGATAAAGAAGTGAACACACACCAGGGTATTTCCTGGCTCAGAATGGGCCTTTGGGGGGTGACTTTGCACGACAGTAAGCGTGATCATTGTACGTACAGTAAAGGCAATGAGTTACCTCAAGACCGAAGTCTATGCATTTTCTTGATATTTGATAAACAAAATATATCCACAACCTGGAGGAGTAACAAGTATAAATGAGTGTATTAATAAATATTATAACATTAAATAAAAAGTATATTGTAAGTACAATAATATATTTACAAGTTACACTCTATTTGAATAGCCAGCTAGCAGATACTTTATTAGTTGAGATTCAATTGTTTCACAAATAAAACTGTTTTCTGATATTTTACTGTTGTATATAACCAGTGCAGGAACTGACGTTACTGTGCTCCTATAATGTAATATGTACAATAATGAGAGCGAGACATATTTCCATGTGTTGTGGCCACTGTTTAATCTGGAACTGCCAAGCGTACGAGAACAGAAAGAGAGACAGCCCAACAGCATCTGAGCAAAACACTGTTGCTCTCTAGTGACACCCAGGGCAAATGATGAGAACAAATACACAATCCAATACTTCACATACACCACTGTGGTTAAGCTTTGATTACGGCTAATGTTCGTGTATTCATTATAAATTCAGATCACTGTATAGGCTACTAAATGTCTTACTTATTAGTACAATAATAATTCCAGTTGGACAAAACAGCAGTTTCATTTTTGTGGGTTTTCAGTCATTAAATTATTGTGCTCTACATGGTGGTCAGTCTCTCATTTGTTTATGCAAAGTTCTAACTTGTCAATAATAAAATACGTGCCCACAGAACAACAAGTTCAACATTTCAAAAGGTTGCTGTAGCACATAAACCTTATTTTAATGTCCCGCCCCATCTAGGCTGTGATTGGTCGGTTTGCGAAAAGTGACTTGGGCAAGCAATTTTCTGCACACGGCTGCATAAAAGGGGAGCTTCTCTCTGCTCTGACTCTGCCCACAGAGCTCAGCAGGCAGGTGAGAACGGGAACAGGTGAGCGTAACATAGAGCCCAGAGAACCTGATATGGAGAGGGCAGCTTGGAAGAAGTGCCGGTACGCTAAAGGGTGAAATGTAGCACAAGCACAAACGGCTTTCACGTTGTGACAAATCACAGGAAGTCATCTCTCCCATTAGCGCTAGCTTCATGGCGGAGCGTTCAGGTACAGTGGGACTAACCTACTTGAGTTGACCTCTGGACTTAAGTATGTGTAAGTGGTCTCTACTTCCTTGTGGTCCCTGGTGCTAATCATCTTATGTTGACCTCTGAGCCCTAATCCTTGATACCTGACCTCTGATCTCTGGACCCCCTCAGGTCTTTACAGGGATCTTCACAGCTGAGATGGTACTCAAACTTCTGGCCATGGACCCGTACTACTACTTCCAGGTCACATGACTTCCTGTTTCTGTGTTACCAGCTGATAACGACTGACAGCTGTTCCCATGGTAACACATGTCTGATTTTTCTTTTGCCATGGTTACAGGTGGGCTGGAACATCTTCGACAGCATCATCGTCACCATGAGTCTGGTGGAGCTGGGACTGGCTAACGTCCAGGGCCTGTCTGTGCTGCGCTCCTTCCGATTGGTCAGTATAACTTTATACCAAACACAATATTTGAAAACAAGTTACTGTTTACTCACCTGCCTCCTCACCTGTCTACCTGTCTCTTTAACTGCTGTCTACCTGTCTCTTCACCTGTCTGTCTACCTGCCTCCTCACCTGTCTACCTGTCTCTTTACCTGCTGTCTACCTGTCTCTTCACCTGTCTGTCTACCTGCCTCTTCACCTGTCTACCTGTCTCTTTACCTGCTGTCTACCTGTCTCTTCACCTGTCTACCTGTCTCTTCACCTGTCTGTCTACCTGCCTCTTCACCTGTCTACCTGCCTCTTCACCTGTCTACCTGTCTCTTTACCTGCTGTCTACCTGTCTCTTCACCTGTCTGTCTACCTGCCTCTTCACCTGTCTACCTGCCTCCTCACCTGTCTGTCTACCTGTCTCTTTACCTGCTGTCTACCTGTCTCTTCACCTGTCTGTCTACCTGCCTCTTCACCTGTCTACCTGCCTCCTCACCTGTCTGTCTACCTGTCTCTTTACCTGCTGTCTACCTGTCTCTTCACCTGTCTGTCTACCTGCCTCTTCACCTGTCTGCCTGCCTCCTCACCTGTCTGTCTACCTGTCTCTTTACCTGCTGTCTACCTGTCTCTTCACCTGTCTGTCTACCTGCCTCCTCACCTGTCTACCTGTCTCTTTACCTGTCTGTCTACCTGCCTCTTCACCTGTCTACCTGTCTCTTTACCTGCTGTCTACCTGTCTCTTCACCTGTCTGTCTACCTGCCTCTTCACCTGTCTACCTGCCTCCTCACCTGTCTGTCTACCTGTCTCTTTACCTGCTGTCTACCTGTCTCTTCACCTGTCTGTCTACCTGCCTCTTCACCTGTCTACCTGTCTCTTCACCTGTCTGTCTACCTGCCTCCTCACCTGTCTACCTGTCTCTTTACCTGCTGTCTACCTGTCTCTTCATCTGTCTGTCTACCTGCCTCCTCACCTGTCTACCTGTCTCTTCGCCTGTCTACCTGTCTCTTCACCTGTCTATCTACCTGCTTCCTCACCTGTCTCCCTGTCTCTTCACCTGCTGTCTACCTGTCTCTTCATCTGTCTGTCTACCTGCCTCCTCACCTGTCTACCTGTCTCTTTACCTGCTGTCTACCTGTCTCTTCATCTGTCTGTCTACCTGCCTCCTCACCTGTCTACCTGTCTCTTTACCTGCTGTCTACCTGTCTCTTCACCTGTCTGTCTACCTGTCTCTTCACCTGTCTACCTGTCTCTTCACCTGTCTGTCTACCTGCCTCCTCACCTGTCTACCTGTCTCTTCACCTGTCTACCTGTCTCTTCATCTGTCTGTCTACCTGCCTCTTCACCTGTCTACCTGTCTCTTCACCTGTCTACCTGCCTCTTCACCTGTCAACCTGTCTTTTCACCTGTCTGTCTACCTGCCTCCTCACCTGTCAACCTGTCTCTTCACCTGTCTGTCTACCTGTCTCTTCACCTGTCTACCTGTCTCTTCACCTGTCTACCTGCCTCCTCACCTGTCTGTCTACCTGTCTCTTCACCTGTCAACCTGTCTCTTCATCTGTCTGTCTACCTGCCTCTTCACCTGTCTACCTGTCTCTTCATCTGTCTGTCTACCTGCGTCCTCACCTGTCTACCTGCCTCTTCACCTGTCTACCTGTCTCTTCATCTGTCTGTATACCTGCCTCCTCACCTGCCTACCTGTCTCTTCACCTGTCTACCTGTCTCTTCATCTGTCTGTCTACCTGCCTCTTCACCTGTCTACCTGTCTCTTCACCTGTCTACCTGCCTCTTCACCTGTCTACCTGTCTTTTCACCTGTCTGTCTACCTGCTTCCTCACCTGTCAACCTGTCCTTTCACCTGTCTGTCTACCTGCCTCCTCACCTGTCTACCTGCCTCCTCACCTGTCTACCTGTCTCTTCACCTGCTGTCTACCTGTCTCTTCACCTGTCTGTCTACCTGTCTCTTCATCTGTCTGTCTACCTGCCTCCTCACCTGTCTACCTGTCTCTTCACCTGTCTGTCTACCTGTCTCTTCACCTGTCTGTCTACCTGTCTCTTCATCTGTCTGTCTACCTGCCTCCTCACCTGTCTACCTGTCTCTTCACCTGCTGTCTACCTTTCTTTTCACCTGCTTTCTACCTGCCTCCTCACCCGTCTGTCTACCTGCCTCCTCACCTGTCTACCTGTCTCTTCACCTGTCTGTCTACCTGTCTCTTCACCTGTTTGTCTACCTGTCTCTTCACCTGTCTACCTGTCTCTTCACCTGTCTGTCTACCTGTCTCTTCACCTGTCTACCTGCCTCCTCACCTGTCTGTCTACCTGTCTCTTCACCTGTCAACATGTCTCTTCATCTGTCTGTCTACCTGCCTCTTCACCTGTCTGTCTACCTGTCTCTTCATCTGTCTGTCTACCTGCCTCCTCACCTGTCAACCTGTCTCTTGACCTGCTGTCTACCTGTCTCTTCACCTGTCTGTCTACCTGTCTCTTCACCTGTCTGCCTGTCTCTTCACCTGTCTATCTACCTGCCTCCTCACCTGTCTACCTGTCTCTTCACCTGTCTACCTGTCTCTTCATCTGTCTGTCTACCTGCCTCTTCACCTGTCTACCTGTCTCTTCACCTGTCTACCTGCCTCTTCACCTGTCAACCTGTCTCTTCACCTGTCTACCTGCATCCTCACCTGTCTACCTGTCTCTTCACCTGTCTACCTGTCTCTTCATCTGTCTGTCTACCTGCCTCTTCACCTGTCTACCTGTCTCTTCACCTGTCTACCTGCCTCTTCACCTGTCAACCTGTCTTTTCACCTGTCTACCTGCCTCCTCACCTGTCTACCTGCCTCCTCAACTGTCTACCTACCTGCGTCCTCACCTGTCTACCTGCCTCTTCACCTGTCTACCTGTCTCTTCATCTGTCTGTATACCTGCCTCCTCACCTGTCTACCTGTCTCTTCACCTGTCTACCTGTCTCTTCATCTGTCTGTCTACCTGCCTCTTCACCTGTCTACCTGTCTCTTTACATGCTGTCTACCTGTCTCTTCGCCTGTCTGTCTACCTGCCTCTTCACCTGTCTACCTGCCTCCTCACCTGTCTGTCTACCTGTCTCTTTACCTGCTGTCTACCTGTCTCTTCACCTGTCTGTCTACCTGTCTCTTCACCTGTCTACCTGTCTCTTCACCTGTCTGTCTACCTGTCTCTTCACCTGTCTACCTGTCTCTTCACCTGTCTGTCTACCTGCCTCCTCACCTGTCTACCTGTCTCTTCACCTGTCTACCTGTCTCTTCACCTGTTTGTCTACCTGCCTCCTCACCTGTCTACCTGTCTCTTCACCTGTCTACCTGTCTCTTCACCTGTTTGTCTACCTGTCTCTTCACCTGTCTACCTGTCTCTTCACCTGTCTGTCTACCTGCCTCCTCACCTGTCTACCTGTCTCTTCACCTGTTTGTCTACCTGCCTCCTCACCTGTCTACCTGTCTCTTCACCTGCTTTCTACCTGTCTCTTCACCTGTCTGTCTACCTGCCTCCTCACCTGTCAACCTGTCTTTTCACCTGCTGTCTACCTGCTTTCTCACCTGTCTGCCTGTCTCTTCACCTGTCTGTCTACCTGCCTCCTCACCTGTCAACCTGTCTCTTCACCTGTCTGTCTACCTGCCTCCTCACCTGTCTACCTGCCTCCTCACCTGTCTACCTGTCTCTTCACCTGTCAACCTGTCTCTTCACCTGTCTGTCTACCTGCCTCCTCACCTGTCTACCTGTCTCTTCACCTGTCTACCTGTCTCTTCACCTGTCTGTCTACCTGTCTCTTCACCTGTCTACCTGTCTCTTCACCTGTTTGTCTACCTGCCTCCTCACCTGTCTACCTGTCTCTTCACCTGTCAACCTGTCTTTTCACCTGCTGTCTACCTGCTTCCTCACCTGTCTACCTGCCTCTTCACCTGTCTGTCTACCTGCCTCCTCACCTGTCAACCTGTCTCTTCACCTGCTGTCTACCTGCTTCCTCACCTGTCTAACTGTCTCTTCACCTGTCTACCTGTCTCTTCACCAGTCTGTCTACCTGCCTCTTCACCTGTCTACCTGTCTCTTCACCAGTCTGTCTACCTGCCTCCTCACCTGTCTACCTGTCTCTTCACCTGTCTACCTGCCTCCTCACCTGTCTACCTGTCTTTTCACCTGCGGTCTACCTGCCTCCTCACCTGTCTACCTGTCTCTTCACCTGTCTACCTGCCTCCTCACCTGTCTACCTACCTGTCTCTTCACCTGTCTACCTGTCTCTTCATCTGTCTGTCTACCTGCCTCCTCACCTGTCTACCTGTCTCTTCACCTGTCTGTCTACCTGCCTCCTCACCTGTCAACCTGTCTCTTCACCTGCTGTCTACCTGCCTCCTCACCTGTCTACCTGTCTCTTCACCTGTCTACCTGCCTCCTCACCTGTCTACCTACCTGTCTCTTCACCTGTCTACCTGTCTCTTCACCAGTCTGTCTACCTGCCTCCTCACCTGTCTACCTGTCTTTTCACCTGCGGTCTACCTGCCTCCTCACCTGTCTACCTGTCTCTTCACCTGTCTACCTGCCTCCTCACCTGTCTACCTGCCTCCTCACCTGTCTACCTACCTGTCTCTTCACCTGTCTACCTGTCTCTTCATCTGTCTATCTACCTGCCTCCTCACCTGTCTACCTGTCTCTTCACCTTTCTCACGTCCAGATGCGAGTGTTTAAACTGGCCAAGTCGTGGCCGACCCTCAACATGTTGATTAAGATCATTGGAAACTCGGTGGGGGCTCTGGGAAACCTGACTCTGGTTCTGGCCATCATCGTCTTCATCTTCGCCGTCGTCGGCATGCAGTTGTTCGGGAAGAATTACAAAGACTGCGTCTGTCGCATCTCACTTGACTGCGAGCTTCCTCGCTGGCACATGCACGACTTTTTCCACGCCTTCCTCATCATCTTCAGGGTCCTGTGTGGAGAGTGGATCGAGACCATGTGGGACTGCATGGAGGTCTCAGGTCAGGCCATGTGTCTGATTATCTACATGATGGTTCTCGTCATTGGAAACTTGGTGGTGAGTTGCACTCTGTTTCAGCATGTCTCTAACCCTCCAGCAGGGCAGCTGGAGCTGTGGCCATAAAACAGATCCAGGTCTGGGGTCAATGGCTGTTGGCTCTGGTTTAAATGAGGCTGACTGAGAACAAAGGATGAATGTGTTTGTGGTCTTGTTTCAGGTCCTGAATCTCTTTCTGGCCTTGTTGCTGAGCTCCTTCAGTGGTGATAATCTTGCGGCTCCGGAAGATGAAGGAGAAAACAACTTGCAGATTGCCATAAACCGGATCAGTAGAGCTCTGGCCTGGACAAAGACCTGGATCCTTAAACATATATGGAATTTGATGGGAAAGAAAACCCCAGTCAACCCAGACAACAGCGGTACAACCAGACCTGGAACTTAAATATGGAAATAAATAGATTAATAATGTCTTTGTTGATCTATCCACAGGTTTAGTTTTTATTCAGCATTCTTACTGTCTCTGGGTTTCAGGTTTTAATTAAATATACTGATTCTGATTTCAGACTGGTTCTCTTCCGAATGAACTTTGTGTGGCTTACTGATTTGTCATGTTTTTGAACTTCCTCGTTAGTGGTCGACAGTGAGGAAGGCGATAGGACGACAAAGGACTTTTTGGCTTTGACCTTTTTGACCTCAGACCAGCCAGCATCAGAGGTCAAATCCCCTGGCTGTGACCATGGCAACCTGACCAGCATCTACCACAACATTGTCTCCCTGAGGGTCCCCATCGCCAAGGCCGAGTCCGACTTCGAGACGCCTGACAATGATGATGATGACGATGAAGACGATGAGGATGAAGAGGACGAAGCTGAAAAGGACAAAGACAAGCACTCCCAAGTAAACACTGTTCTATTCTTTTATTTCACCTCAAACTGAACTGCAGTGCGCTGACTGGTTTCATAAATATATTGAACTCAAATTTAATGTAATAAACTTTAATAACTTAGGTGATAACTTTAATCAGGTAATCTCACAGAGAGCTGTGGAAACAACCATAAGCAGACAAATACAAAGAGCATCAGATACGCACGTCAGTAAAATGTTTAAAGACATTCTTCATTCCAGCCATTAATAAGTTTTGGAAGGCAGCCTGTGCTAGTTTTTCTAAGGGCTAACCAGAGTTCAACAGGACTGAGATCTGCCCTTGAAATGTGAAGAGATAAGGGATTTACTGTCCGCAGGAGACCTTTATACATTAAAATGATAATGCTACTGAGGACCATTTATATTTGTGAGCATTTGTGAGACTGTTGCCACAAACTGCTGAGCTGTCAGACAGACATGTTTCAGTGTAAATTTGTTTTGACATTTGTTCAGTGTGAAGAGTCGTCGGTCTGCAGCACTGTACAGAAACTTCCTGAAGGCCAGGAGGACGAAGACGAGGAAGATCACGATGAAAACACACCCGAGAACTGCTGGAGTGACAGTACGAACACACACACACACACACACACACACACACACACATCTTTCATAGTGTAGATGGGTTGAGGAAAAGTCCTACTGGAAACATGGAGGTCTTTGTGTAAAAATATTTCAGGAAAGGAACCAGTGATCAATAAAGCGCTGTGATGAGTCTCTCTCTGTTTCAGCGGCACCCGCTCAGTTAGTTTGTATTCTGTATTTTCTGCTTTAAAGCTGCAACACGTATCCTGATCTGCCAGCATCTGTTACAAGATGACAAAACAACCAATTAAACAACAGGACTCATGAGTAATTTACCGAGTAGCCAATCAGGACCTTCCACATGAAGGCTGTCCCTGTTAGTATCCTATAGTTCTATCAGTAACTGTATCTTAGGATTATCATTAGAGAAAGAGAGACTATCATATCGCTTTGTTTTTTTGTTTAAAAGGGAATGTGCACATAATGAACATAAGGACAATGTCCAACATGTAAATGAGCCAGTTTTGGCCACACAGACTGATTTTCATCTGGAGTTCTTTGAAGACATGATGTAAGAAATTAGCTCTTACATTTGTGTTACCAGTATGAGGGGGACACTTTGCTACCTTCAGCTCCAACAAACCTTTTTCCGTTTTACATCCAGTCAGACTGTTGTTATTAACTGTTCCATCATCATTACTGCAAGAGTGACTCGCAGGCTCCCCAGCCAATCAGTGTGTATGAATTGATGTAGAAAGATAAAAAATATCTAGTTCCACTACATTTTTACTTCCACCTCAAAAAAGACAAACTGGACGTGTTGTCACAGAAGAGACAGAGATCTAACATTAATGACTATGGATGCTAATGTTTTGACACTGAAGAGCTTGTAAACATATATTCAAACACGTGATGATCGGGGGGGGGCAACTGTCAACATCTTTCACCAAAGCTGTTCTAGTAACTACTCTCTGCAGTTTAATGGCTTCACTTGATCCTGCATGAACACATATTTTGTATTTAATTAGCTAGAACTATTTACTTAGGCTTTTATTAGGAACAGCGATAAAGCATGATTGTGTGATTATGTCTAGGAGGTAGAGTGGGTTGCCTGTTAATCGGAAAGGTTGGCGGTTCAATCCCCCCATGTCAAAGTGTCCTTGGGCAAGATACTGAACCTCGAATTGCCCCTGGTGGCTGTTCCACCAGTATATGAATGTTAGTCAGTCAGTCAGAACTGAAGAAGTCCTTTGGATGAGGGACGAAACGTCTTCCAGTATCTTCAACCAAGTCCAGTTGCCCTTGATTTTAACCATCGATGGATATATATGAATGTTAGTTTCTGTTTGAACACTTAGGCTCAGTGTGTTCATGCGATGTAGTGTAAAAGTGCTTTGAGTGGGTGGACTATTCTCTGAATGAAATGAGGACACACTGAGTTTTATATTGATGAGCATGAAAGTTACTGGCAGAGTATTCTATTCCTGGAGTGCAGTGGAACCAAAATGAACCAAACAGTGCTGTAACTGTTAGCCACTTACTGTGCACGATGTTGTCGTCTTTTTTGTCATGTACTGTATGTCAACTTCTTTGCTACTGCAGCAAAACTAATCGCCCCTTGGGAACAAATAAAGGTCTTTAACTTGAACAGTTGTTGTATCTGTTTCCAGTCCTCCTTTTTCCAAGCTCCTTCCACCAGATGTGGATGTGCGCAGCAGGGAAATGTAGCAGTGCATGTTCATGGATGCCTGTTCATGGAGTCTGCAGTCAAGTGCAGTGATGGCTGGTCTCTACAGCTTCAGGCCCTCCCTCTCCTTTGCATCCATTCATCCATCCATTTATTAGTATTTCCCAAAACCTAATAATAATCATCATCATCATCATCATCATCATAATAAATAGAGCTGCAAGAGGCGATCCGCGGGTTCAAACCTTTTTTAGCATTAACAACTTCAATATTATATCATACGTGTGGTTTAACATTGTTATAAAACACATCCTGCAAGTTTTGTAATGACTGGAAAAGCATTTTCTGATCAGTAGCTTAATTTGCATAATTTCACATTCAGTTATTGTGCATGTAAAGTGCCCCCTACTGGTCGATTTGAACGAGGCTTGCAGTGTATGTGTGAGGTGCTTATGTAGACATATCCTGGAAGTTTTGTGTTGATTGGGGTCAAGTTCTGTTATGTTTAAGAAATTTTCAGCTCCTGCCCAAACTTGAAAATGGCCTGTTTGAGAATTGAAGGATGCAAGGGACAGCTCAGTTATCATCTTATTTGCTGTATTTTATTTCCAGTTCAGTAGTAGTAGGGATAATGGGATGATAACCTTAAAATAAACAGCACCAAGCATATACATTATTCTACTATATGTCTTAAATAAACACATAAATTGAAATAAGCATTGCATTTCCTTTTTGTAACAGCAATCACAGTAAAGCTAAATTCATTCTAGCACATTTAAAATAAACTTAAATTTATAAGAAAAACCCTCAACCCTTTTCTCTGGACCCCTGCCAAATCTGACCAGTGATGACATGTATAGCCGCATGTCGTCATTCCGCCGCTGGTTGTCGAGGTGGTGTCCAGCAAACGATGTGGGCTTTGTAGATCATTGGCAGACTTTCTGGGGAAGACCTGGTCCGATCCGGAGAGACGGCATCCATCCCACTTGGGAAGGAGCAGCTCTCATTTCTAGAAATCTGGCCAAGTTTGTTAGTGGACCAAATCCATGAGAACCCAGAGTTGAGACCAGGAGGCAGAGTCGCAGTCTAACACACTTCTCTGCTCCTCCATTTCAGGAGTTACTTAGTGAAAATCCTATAGTGACGGTGTCTGTCCCCCGACCATCGAAATTATTTAAATCAAAGGTAAACAGAAGAGGAGCTGTGCATAAAAACCTCATAAAAATTAAAACCACAAGAGCAATAGTGCAAATGAATAGGAGAGTCCAGTTTGGGTTCAGGAGGCAGACACCATCTCCACATTTAAGAGTAGGCTTAAGACTTTCCTCTTTGATAAAGCTTATAGTTAGGGCTGGCTCAGGTGAGTCCTGAACCATCCCTTAGTTATGCTGCTATAGGCCTAGACTGCCGGGGGATTTCCCATGATGCACTGAGCTCCTCTCTCCTCTACTTTCTCTCCCTCTGTATGCAACCTCATCCCATTATTGCATGTTACTAACACAACTTCTCCCCTTTCTGGTAGTCTTGTGCTTTCTCGTCCCTCTCCTCTCTCCTCCTATCACTTCCTTCAGGTGATTCTGGCTCTGGAGCTGTGGAGTCTGGATCTGTGGTTGCGGGTCACCTGCTGCCCCCGTGTTCCTGCTCGACACCCTCTGCTGCAACCACTATTGTTACTAGTCCTATTGTTATTATTGTTATTATAATCATTAACATTACGATTGTTATCATTAACACTACTATAAATATCTGTACCATTTTTCATTTAGTCTATAGCAACATCACCTTTACTGTCTGTACCTCTGTGTGGATATTGTGTAGGCTGCCTCCCTCTCTCTCTCTCTCTCTCTCTCTCCCTCTCTCTCCTTCACCCCAACCGGTCGAGGCAGATGGTCGCCCACCCTGAGTCATGGTTCTGCTCGAGGTTTCTGCCTCTTAAAGGAAGTTTTTCCTTGCCTCTGTCTCCTAGTGCTGCTCTTGGTGGGAACTGTTGGGTTTCTGTAAATAACATCACAGAGTACGGTCTAGACCTGCTCTTTATGAAAAGTGCTGTGAGATAACTGTTGTTGTGATTTGGCGCTATATAAATAAAATTGAATTGAACTTAATTGAAAAATATAATCTGAGGTTTAAATTCAATTAATTAACTTAAAGTGGTGCATCAAATGACAATAGTTCAAATCACTAACACTACAAACTAAAGCACTCAACAAGCAGCTACAGTTCTACAGTGCATTTTTAGAACATGTCAAAATGGGGCACAATTTTCCTACCAGTTACGTCTTCATGAGCTGAACCATGAGCTGAATTGTCTTTTCCCTCTCGAGACAATGAATCTGATTTCCTGCTGTCTTTGGCTGCCACTACATCGAACACACACTCTCCAAAGACCAATCAGTGTTCTCACTCCACTGATAAGTCAGGCTTGCCTGGCTTTTTGGAGGTGCGTTACTGAAACCTGTCCCTCCAGAAGAAACAATGAACTTTTGGTTCCTTACTTTGGGCACGTTTTTCCCCTTACAAACAATTGGACAAACAATATGTATCTTGTGGCCTGATTTACGTTTTATTGCAAATGTAAGATGTGACATGACATCCTGTTTTAGCATTTGCACAAACATTTGTTAGGTTATATTTCGGACGTTTTTTAGCGGATCAAAATGGTCTGTCCAAGTTTCGTGTCGATTGAAGTTTCAGCTTCGGAGGATGTAATTAAAATAGGTTTTTCAGTTTTCGTGATTAATGAAATGAAAACGTCATCACACAGAGGTGTGTTTTATACCATCGGAATCGGCAGAATCCCCAAACACGTAGACATAAAGTTTATGAATGTGCGATGTAGTGGTGCGTAGTTATGAGGCAAAATGTGCCTTGGTTGAAATGGGGTTTCCTCTACAAACCTTCATCAGTTTGGTTCAGAGATTATCCATGCCAAGTCGATCGGACTTGTGGCTTTGGAGGAGTTAATTAAAATAGGTTTTTCAGTTTTTGGATGTAGCGGGAAAAACGTCTAGGTGAAAATGGGCATGGCCTATACCATTAGATTCAGCCCGATCCCCCGAACACGTGGATATAAGGTTTTTGATATGCGCCTTTGTATGTGGGAGTTCCGAGGCCAAATGCGTATATAGCGCCCCCCCCTAGTGGTAGAAGTGTGCAGATTTTTGCGCCTGAGGTACTTACAGTGGTTTGGACCTACCCTATGAGTTTCGTGTCTGTAGCACTTACCGTCTAGGCTGCAGTATGAGTTTTAGCCGTGGACTAATAAAAATCTTAACTATTCCAATAGGGTTCCCAGCTCCGCCCACTCAGGCTTGGACCCCTAACTAGAACTGCAAGCAGTTGTAAGCGGGGTCCAAGCCTCCCGGCGCCAGCCGCTCCCCTCGCCCCTCGGAGGTCACGTGAGTCGACCTGGGGCGTCGTGCCGCGGCTCCGGGGGCCCGTGGTGAATAAACAACCAGAGTTTGAAATTAAAGGGACTTGCAGTTACGGAGATGTAAAATGAATGTATGTCTATGGGAGTGTTATTTGATATATGCTTAATAGTGCCATCTAGAGGCCGGTTGACACCAAATTTCACACAGCCTGTTGGGAGGGCGTGCCAGAAAAGGTCCCCGAGTTTGGTTTAGATCGGCCATTGCAAACGTAAGATATGACATTAAATCCTGTTTTCAGTGTTTTCGCAAATATTTGTTAGCTCAAAATTGGGACATCTTTTGTCAGATCAAAATTCCCTCCCTTTTTTCAGCTTGGTCCAGAGATGGTCTGTGGCAAGTTGCCTTGCAATGCCTAGCAATCGCGGGTTCCCAGCCCACTCAGGCTTGGACCCCTAATAATAACTAAAACAGACAAAAACAATAGGGTTCTACCGCTTCGTGATTTGAACGCTGATAGTAACTAAAGCACACAAACATAGAAGGGTTCTACCACTTTGTGGTTTGAATCCTAATAATAATAAATTATACAGCACCTTTCATGAAACCCAAGGACACTTTACAGAAATTACTATATGTGACAACAACAAATATTTTTAGAAAAACAACTTCTCCCTGGCTGTGATGAACATATGGTGTTTTAGAAGTTTTTTAAACATGTCCATGGATGAAGCATTGTGGCCAGTGAAGGTGGATGAGGGTTGTGGTGAAGTGCTGACAGGTCTTGGTGCAGGTGAGGACTTCAGCAGCGGAGTTTTATATTTTTATGACTAGTTTTATATGTAATACTTCTCTCTAAAATGAGAAATGCACATGTTGTGCCCTTAAAAAGGGGAAAAATAACGAGAAAGTTGAGGAAACACGCACACGCAGCTCCCGCCTTCACTCGTCTGTATTGAATGGGGAAGAGGAGCGCGCCGGAATCCCCCTACTGAAACCCCAAGGCATTACCAAAAGATCGACGAATAATCAACCCATACAGACGAAGATCAGTGTTATCTGAATTCAACTTCTTAATATAACTCTAATTTTAAACAGTAACAAAACTTAATACGCATTACAATATAAGCATTAATATAAACAAAACTTAATACGCATTTTATAACAGACTATTTTATATGCTATAATGAGTTATGAACTATAATGTCACATACCACTTGTCACACTCACTTGTCACACACACACTGCTGTTTTTCAATACAGACACAGGAGCAAAGTCCCGTGTCTTCAGCACAACATGCCCTGCAGCTTTTCCTGTTGAAAATGTGGCTGCGATGTCCTGACAGGCTGAATACTTATTACCATGATGAAAAATATATAAAACTAGACCTCTACATTTCTGGTAAACTGATCCAGTATCAGAGCAGCAGTGGTTCTTTGGCATCAGGCAGGTAGCGTCTTACGATTGGCAGATTTCCGCAGGTGAAAGGTGTCAGCTGGAGCTGGTGATCCAGCTCTGCTGCTGGAACTCTGTAAAGACCTCTGTAAGTAATGAGACCGGCTGATTGACGTGAAACATTTTTCTGTGTGTATATATATTTCAGAGTGTTACCAGCGCTGCCCGTTCCTGGACATAGACGTGTCCCAGGGCAGATGGAAGGTCTGGTCTAACTTCAGGAGAACCTGTTTCTCCATCGTAGAACACAACTACTTTGAGACCTTCATCATTTTCATGATCCTGATGAGCAGTGGAGCTCTGGTAAACATTAGTATACATTATTGGTTTATTGATTAATATTGATAGGTTTCCCATTTGTTTCCTTTTGTTCCTTATGTTTTTAATTTTGCTGTAAAGCATGTTGCCATATTTGTTTTTAAAACATTCCGTAAGTCTGACTGCTGCGCCGTCCTCCTGGATGCTGGTTGGTCTGTTTGATCTGATCATGTGACTGACCAGGTCAGATCTGATTGACAGGAATGCGTGCGGTGTGAGTACTAACCTGTGGAGACTACATGGCGGACAGCAGAGCACTGATACACTGACCTCAGGGCTTTTTTTTATTGGCTGACCCTCTAACTACTAACATGGCCACCACAGGTGAGAATCTTTCACTAACGTTTAACACTATGGTAACACTTATAAACTCTTATAAATAAACCGTGACATCATGATGAATAATGATGACAGAGTGAACAAAGACTGGATGGTGACCGAACATAACATAAAATAACAACACAACATAAAATAACACAGAACAACATAAAATAACACAACGCAACATAGAATAACACAGCACAGCATAAAATAACACAACGTAAAATAACACAGCGCAACATAGTATAACACAACACAACATAAAATAACATAGCACAACATTAAATAACACAACCCAACATAAAATAACACAGCGCAACATAGTATAACACAACACAACATAAAATAACACAGCACAACATTAAATAACACAACATTAAATAACACAGCACAACATTAAATAACACAGAACAACATAGTATAACACAACACAACATAAAATAACACAGCACAACATTAAATAACACAACATTAAATAACACAACCCAACATAGAATAACACAGCACAGCATAAAATAACACAACGTAAAATAACACAGCACAACATTAAATAACACAACCCAACATAGAATAACTGAGCACAGCATAAAATAACACAATGTAAAATAACACAGCACAACATTAAATAACACAGAAAAACATAAAATAACACAACCGAACATAGAATAACACAGCACAACATTAAATAACAACATAAAATAACACAGCACAAGATAAAATAACACAACATAAAATAACACAACCCAACATAGAATAACACAGCACAAGATAAAATAACAACATAAAAATAACTCAACACAACATAAAATAACACAGCACAACATTAAATAACACAGCACAACATAAAATAACACAACCCAACATTGAATAACACAGCACAACATAAAATAACACAACATTAAATAACACAGCACAACATTAAATAACACAGAAAAACATAAAATAACACAACCCAACATAAAATAACACAGCACAACATAAAATAACATAAAATAACACAGCACTACATTAAATAACAGAACAACATAAAATAACACAACCCAACATAGAATAACACAGCACAGCATGAAATAGCACAGCACAACATAAAATAACACAGCACAACATTAAATAACACAACATAAAATAACACAGCATAACATTAAATAACACAGAAAAACATAAAATAACACAACCCAACATAGAATAACACAGCACAACATAAAATAACAACATAAAAATAACACAACACAACATAAAATAACACAACACTACATTAAATAACACAGAACAACATAAAATAACACAACCCAACATAGAATAACACAGCACAACATAAAATAACAACATAAAAATAACACAACATAAAATAACACAACACTACATTAAATAACACAGAACAACATAAAATAACACAACCCAATATAGAATAACACAGCACAACATAAAATAACACAACCCAACATAGAATAACACAGCACAGCATAAAATAACACAGCACAACATTAAATAACACAGCACAAGATAAAATAACACAGCACAACATAAAATAACACAACACAACATAAAATAACAGCACAACATAAAATAACACAGCACAACATAAAATAACACAACCCAACATAGAATAACACAGCACAACATAATATAACATAACCCAACATAAAATAACACAGCACAACATTAAATAACACAACATAAAATAACACAACACAACATAAAATAACAGCACAACATAAAATAACACAACCCAACATAGAATAACACAGCACAGCATAGAATAACACAGCCCAACATTAAATAACACAGAAAAACATAAAATAACACAACACAACATAAAATAACACAGCACAACATTGAATAACACAACATAAAATAACACAGCACAACATAAAATAACACAACCCAACATAGAATAACACAGCACAACATAAAATAACAGCACACAACATAAAATAACACAACATAAAATAACACAACCCAACATAGAATAACACAGCACAGCATAGAATAACACAGCCCAACATTAAATAACACAGAAAAACATAAAATAACACAACACAACATAAAATAACAGCACACAACATAAAATAACAGCACAACATAAAATAACACAACATAAAATAACACAACCTAACATAGAATAACACAGCACAACATTGAATAACACAACATAAAATAACACAGCACAACATAAAATAACACAACCCAACATAGAATAACACAGCACAACATAAAATAACAGCACACAACATAAAATAACACAACATAAAATAACACAACCCAACATAGAATAACACAGCACAGCATAGAATAACACAGCCCAACATTAAATAACACAGAAAAACATAAAATAACACAACACAACATAAAATAACAGCACACAACATAAAATAACAGCACAACATAAAATAACACAACATAAAATAACACAACCCAACATAGAATAACACAGCACAACATTGAATAACACAACATAAAATAACACAGCACAACATAAAATAACACAACCCAACATAGAATAACACAGCACAGCATAAAATAACACAGCCCAACATTAAATAACACAGAAAAACATAAAATAACACAACACAACATAAAATAACACAGCACAACATTGAATAACACAACATAAAATAACACAGCACAACATAAAATAACACAACCCAACATAGAATAACACAGCACAACATAAAATAACAGCACACAACATAAAATAACAGCACAACATAAAATAATACAACATAAAATAACACAACCCAACATAGAATAACACAGCACAACATTAAATAACACAACATAAAATAACACAGCATAACATTAAATAACACAGAAAAACATAAAATAACACAACCCAACATAGAATAACACAGCCCAACATTAAATAACAACATAAAAATAACACAACACAACATAAAATAACACAACACTACATTAAATAACACAGAACAACATAAAATAACACAACCCAACATAGAATAACACAGCACAACATAGAATAACACAGCACAACATTAAATAACAACATAAAAATAACACAACACAACATAAAATAACACAACACTACATTAAATAACACAGAACAACATAAAATAACACAACCCAACATAGAATAACACAGCACAAGATAAAATAACACAACCCAACATAGAATAACACAGCACAGCATAAAATAACACAGCACAACATTAAATAACAGCACACAACATAAAATAACAGCACAACATAAAATAACACAACATAAAATAACACAACCCAACATAGAATAACACAGCACAACATTGAATAACACAACATAAAATAACACAGCACAACATAAAATAACACAACCCAACATAGAATAACACAGCACAGCATAAAATAACACAGCCCAACATTAAATAACACAGAAAAACATAAAATAACACAACACAACATAAAATAACACAGCACAACATTGAATAACACAACATAAAATAACACAGCACAACATAAAATAACACAACCCAACATAGAATAACACAGCACAACATAAAATAACAGCACACAACATAAAATAACAGCACAACATAAAATAATACAACATAAAATAACACAACCCAACATAGAATAACACAGCACAACATTAAATAACACAACATAAATAACACAGCATAACATTAAATAACACAGAAAAACATAAAATAACACAACCCAACATAGAATAACACAGCCCAACATTAAATAACAACATAAAAATAACACAACACAACATAAAATAACACAACACTACATTAAATAACACAGAACAACATAAAATAACACAACCCAACATAGAATAACACAGCACAACATAGAATAACACAGCACAACATTAAATAACAACATAAAAATAACACAACACAACATAAAATAACACAACACTACATTAAATAACACAGAACAACATAAAATAACACAACCCAACATAGAATAACACAGCACAAGATAAAATAACACAACCCAACATAGAATAACACAGCACAGCATAAAATAACACAGCACAACATTAAATAACACAGCACAAGATAAAATAACACAGCACAACATAAAATAACACAACACAACATAAAATAACAGCACAACATAAAATAACACAGCACAACCTAAAATAACACAACACAACATAAAATAACACAACCCAACATAAAATAACAGCACAACATAAAATAACACAACATAAAATAACACAACCCAACATAGAATAACACAGCACAGCATAAAATAACACAGCACAACATTGAATAACACAGCACAAGATAAAATAACACAGCACAACATAAAATAACACAACACAACAGCACAACATAAAATAACACAGCACAACCTAAAATAACACAACATAAAATAACACAACACAACATAAAATAACACAACATAAAATAACACAACACAACATAAAATAACACAACCCAACATAAAATAACAGCACAACATAAAATAACACAACATAAAATAACACAACCCAACATAGAATAACACAGCACAGCATAAAATAACACAGCACAACATTGAATAACACAACATGAAATAACACAGCACAACATAAAATAACACAACCCAACATAGAATAACACAGCACAGCATAGAATAACACAGCCCAACATTAAATAACACAGAAAAACATAAAATAACACAACACAACATAAAATAACACAGCACAACATAAAATAACACAGCACAACCTAAAATAACACAACACAACATAAAATAACACAACACAACATAAAATAACAGCACAACATAAAATAACACAACATAAAATAACACAACCCAACATAGAATAACACAGCACAGCATAAAATAACACAGCACAACATTGAATAACACAGCACAAGATAAAATAACACAGCACAACATAAAATAACACAACACAACAGCACAACATAAAATAACACAGCACAACCTAAAATAACACAACATAAAATAACACAACACAACATAAAATAACACAACACAACATAAAATAACACAACCCAACATAAAATCACAGCACAACATAAAATAACACAACATAAAATAACACAACCCAACATAGAATAACACAGCACAGCATAAAATAACACAGCACAACATTGAATAACACAACATGAAATAACACAGCACAACATAAAATAACACAACCCAACATAGAATAACACAGCACAGCATAGAATAACACAGCCCAACATTAAATAACACAGAAAAACATAAAATAACACAACACAACATAAAATAACACAGCACAACATTGAATAACACAACATAAAATAACACAGCACAACATAAAATAACACAACCCAACATAGAATAACACAGCACAACATAAAATAACAGCACACAACATAAAATAACAGCACAACATAAAATAACACAACATAAAATAACACAACCCAACATAGAATAACACAGCACAACATAAAATAACACAGCACAACATAAAATAACACAACTCTCATTTCCAGAATGAATAACAAACAACGTTCTATGTAGTCTGGAGGACTTTTGTGTTTGTGATCAATAGAAGAAGTGAGTTCATGTGAAATCCGGTGCTTTGAATTCACAACAGTTATCAGAACCGTCTGCTCTGTTTGCATGTAAAGTGAATACGACACACCTGTCCAGGTGGTGACATCAGTCTGTATGTGAACAGGCATTTGAGGACATCTACCTGGAGCAACGTCGGGTCATAAAGACGGTTCTGGAGTACGCAGACCAGGTGTTCACCTATGTGTTCGTGGTGGAGATGGTTCTCAAGTGGGTCGCCTATGGATTCAAGACTTACTTCACCAACGCCTGGTGCTGGCTCGACTTCCTCATTGTAGACGTAAGAATATAACGCCTGCCGGAGCGGGTAACCATAGCAATAGTGCTGATATTTGGGTGTACTAACTGATCACAGTAAAATATGGAGTAGTGACCTGCGATATGATGTCATCACCAGATGTGCTATTTCTTCCAGGTGTCTCTGGTGTCTCTGACTGCAAACATCTTGGGATACTCTGAGCTGGGAGCAATCAAGTCTCTGAGGACTCTGAGAGCTCTGAGGCCCCTGAGGGCCCTGTCTCGCTTCGAAGGCATGAGGGTGAGACAGGCACTTAGTAACACTGACACACAGACAGACGGGTTGATGAGGAGGTAACAGGTTTCTCTGTCACCGGATGTTGCTGATCTCAGAGTGTGTTGACTCTCTTCTGTTAAACCATCACAGACCCAGAAGATTCCACTGATCCTACACTCATGATTTCTGTTTGCTGAAATCTGGGCTAGGTTAATCATTACACGCCATGTGACATCTGGTGACCTATCTGGATTCCTGCACCTTTGCAACATTTCAAAATCTACATTACACTTTTCTGTCTGCAATGAACATGGAAACTGTCATCCATGTTTTTATGACTTTATTTGATGTAACTTGCTATTTCCTGTCTGAGTCAATACAACCATAGATCAGGCCGTTTCTTCTTCTTTCAATGCATTGTTTTCATTTTGCATGCTCTTGAACTGTTTTCTTCTGTGTTGCAGTCAGAGTCCTTATCAAAATTTAGTTGGAAGTCCCTCTGACTGTCGTGCATTCTCACTATATTTGGCACAGAAACAATATCTCTTTTTAAATCGGACCTGATAATAAATAGGACCTGCCATAATTATTCTTTAGCTCAAAAACAAAGCAAAATTCTTTAACCTGTTTGGCAATAAAGCTGATTCTGATGAAAAACAATAACTGGACTGTACTCCATATTATTATATCTACTGTGTTTGATGTCAAACAGGAACATTATGATACCACTAGTGCTACTGAGCTGAATGGCAATGCAAGACCCAGCAGACAATGATGAACTTATAACTGATGAATTAAAAGGTTGATAAAGAGATTATGACTGACCAAAGCTCAAATCTTTAAGAACAGCCAAACAAGATGATAGAGAAGACTTTTACTGTCTGAGTGTCTTTTTGGAAAAGTCAAGTCTCGGTCAACCTGTGCTGGTTCCTGCTCACCACATCAAGATTCAGTCAACTGGATCCACTGGAGAGCCAGGTGTGGTGGTAAACATGACGGTCCTGCTCTCCACTTCAGTAGGCCCAGGTAGACCTGTGAGGAAGATTGACCCAGAAAATAATAAATTTTAGTTAGTTGACATTTTTATATGCTGCGATGGACTGGCGACCTGTCCAGGGTGTCCGTTGTAAGCTGGGATTGGCTCCAGCCCCCCACGACTCTGTACACAGGATAAGCGGATGGATTGATGGTTGGATGTACATTTTTATATGTTTGGTGTTCCCAGCAGTGAATAACTGTTCATTTATAGTTGATATAGCTAAGCTTACCAGTATTGTCAGCTTCTTAGATGATAATTGTAACATAAATTGACTGAATTGAAATAACTCGTGTTCTTAGCATCAAATGTGAAGGATCTTATTATGGCAGACAATCTGCAAGAGTTTGATGCCGTCCCCTTTTAAAAAGTGACTTCGGGTAAGATGCAACCAAAAAGGTAGTTTAGTGTCTTGGCCGGCTCTGGTTGCAGTGCAGTTAAAGCATTTAAAACAGGTTTTATAAATAAATATATTATTAGTTATTTTTCCTTCCTGTGTCCCTGTCTGTCTGTCTGCAGGTGGTGGTGAATGCTCTGGTCGGAGCAATCCCATCCATCTTTAATGTGCTGCTGGTGTGTCTGATCTTCTGGCTGATCTTCAGCATCATGGGAGTCAATCTGTTTGCAGGAAAGTTTTATTACTGTTTTAATGAGACGTCTGAGGAAATGTTCCATTCCTATGACATCAACAATAAGACTGAGTGTTTAGCTCTGATGGAGGCAAACTACACTGAGGTCCGCTGGAAGAACCTGAAGGTCAACTTCGACAATGTGGGCATGGGCTACCTGTCGCTGTTGCAAGTGGTGAGTCTCAACACTCAACATATGTGTCTTTACTGAGATACACAAGTGATTTGGTCTGATATATAATGAAATTTAATGATGTGATGTGACAGCTTGTAGCAACAAAATAACCACTTCAACACTTTATTTAAGAAGCAATAACATCAACATTAGTACACCACAAATGCTAAATGTGTTCCTAAAACTGAACAGAAGAGTTCCTGTGAATCTCAGTTGAAACCTCAAGGTTTGTTAGAATGAAACCAGTTTAAATATGAGAATTGTACTGCTGTCTGAAAACAGTTCATCTGTGCTGAAGTCCTTTTCATTGAAAGGCTCTGCGCTGCTTCACTGCCACTGTTGGATTCTATTAGTTCTTTTAAACAGCTACTGTATGCAGATAACAGGACATTTTAGATTCAGAAGCCTTTATTGAAACTGATGTTAATGAGTTGTGTCTCTTTCAGGCCACATTTAAAGGCTGGATGGACATCATGTACGCAGCAGTGGACTCCAGAGAGGTCAGTATACCAACTGTTTTATAAATACTGGTAATAATCCTGGACCTGATACTAACACTGGAACTGCTAGTCAGGTCTGTTTGTATGTAAGCCCAATGTCATAATTGTTCAAGCAGGAAAGAGAAAAAGAAAGAATATAATATAAGAAGACCCAAATGCAGAGGCCAGAGGCAGAGCCAGGTAGTTCATATTTACTAACATACATGATGGTGAGGCAGGCAAGGGCAAAACTTGGTAAAAGGCAGTCCAAAGAAATCCATCAAGGAGCAGGCAAGATTAAAAAAAATAAAAAGTCCAGGAAACTAAAGATCCAAAAACCACCAGAACTAACACAAGGAAAAGGCTGGAATACCAAAGTGGTACTGAGAGAGAGACAGGGGAAACCAATCAGGGCCAAGGTTTGGATTTTTCATTAGTTTTTATTTTGTTTTGACTTCTTGTTTTCAATTTCAGTTTAGTTTTAATTAGTTTTTAACGTGGATTTGCTAGTTTAGTTTAGTTTTTATTTTTTGGTTTAGTTTTTCTTAGTTTCAGTGTTAGTTTTAGTCTTTGTTGCTGCACGATACCAAGCTCAGTTCAATTTTGTTCAGTCTAATTTAGTGTTTTTCACCAAACATTAAAACAAACAACAGGTCCCTATCACCCTGAAGGCAAGTAGGCTATGACTGGAAAGCAGTTATATTAAAATCTAAACCTTTATTAATCAAAAACTAGGTGTTAAAACAACGTGAAGCACAAAGAGACAGTTTGGCACACACTAGCTGACATGCAGTAAATGTTAGGGATGAGCGAGTTTAACCCGGAAGTGGGTCGGGCTGTCTTGAAATGGGCGGGGCTTTAACCGGTATGTTATTTTAAGCATGCAATTGATATGGGTTGATCAGAAATTGTTATATTTATTGCTGATTAGAAAACTATTTACATGACAGCTTCAGCATTGAGCTTCGGATCAATGGTTTTGATCACGATAACAGACGAACTATATACAGAATAAGTTTTGCAACGATGAATACAACACATGCAGTTGCACATATGAAGTAAAACGCAATGAACAAGAGTTTTCCTACTCAACATAACTTTCTTTTTTTAACTTTTTATGATGAGTGTAATTATTTTATTTTAGTTCTTTTTTTTTTCACACCAGAGACCTGTACCACGAAGCAGGATTTGAGCTTATCCAGGTAACTTCGGGGTTAACCCTGCAGGGTTTTCAGTACCACAAAGGTGGTTCACTTCTTACCGGGGTAGATCTTCCTGGTAACTTACAGTATGCTGAAGGCTAACCTGCTCCAGCGCAGGTTATGTTCCAGATTAGAAATCAACTCTGTGAAAACGCCGCCTACTGACCAATCAGCTCTCTTGGAAAATGACATCACCATCTGTAGGAAATCCCACAGACTGTTTTAGCCAACAGGCTGCTTTATGTTTGCAGCGCTGATGTGGAGAAACTCTTGACTATGGCGATCCTACAGACTGATTAAAAGCCTCAGGCTAATGTTGCCTACAGGTTTTTATAGTACAGCAGGATCAGCCTGCTTACTGCCTTTAAATGTGTTTAATATTTTTTATTTGCTCCCAGTCCGTTTCACACACCCTGACGCAGCCGTTAAAATAAATGGGTTTTATTTTTCTTGTGAGGCTGAATGTTATGAGCAGTTTGGTAGGGATATTGAAATACTGAATTTAAATATGAACGTAGGCTGTTTATTTAGGTTAGTATAGCTTTCTAAGGCCTACTATAGAGACTGTAGTCATGTTCCGTCCCACCTTTTACACACACATCGCAAAAGAGAGTTTTCAGCAGCCTAAATGTTGAGATTCAGTCTTTCAAACATTATTTGAGCACATTTTATGGCATGAATGGAGTTTTCGTTTCATTGCTTTATGAAGTTAATTTAAAACAATGTTTGGACACTTTTGAGTGTGTTAAATAAATTAATCTAATTTTTGAAGTAGCGACAAGTTTTTTTGAGGGAGAACGTCTTTTAATGTGGAGATGCACACACAGCCGAGCTGAAATAATAAGGCTGATATTTTCATACAGCTCATGAGAACACTTTTTATCACCGCATTATTATAGACTACGCCTGTTCATTTAGACATTCACACTGTCAGCGACTTTCTGTCTCCCTGCATGTGTCAGATGCGGGCGTGCTACTGTCGTATTTCTGAAGTGTTAAAGTTTAATCCTCGTTCGTAAAATCTGACGCTCTGCTGACAGTGGACTTGTTCGTGTCTGTGATTGGTCATCTGCTGCTAACACCGCCTCTTTTATGTGAACGCGCTCCTGGCTGGATCGGGAAACCCTGGGTTGATTTACCAGCTTTGTGGTACCGCTTATCCCAATCGCAATTGTTAGGGTCAGTGAAGCCAGATAACGAAAACATATCCTGGGTTTGTTGAACTGGCCCCAGGTGTGTGTGTGTGTGTGTGTGTGTGTGTGTGTGTGTGTGTGTGTGTGTGTGTGTGTGTGTGTGTGTGTTTGGGGGGGGGGGGGGGGGGGCACACTCGCGGCTCACCAAAAGGTGCCTATCGTCTGATCTGCCGATCTGCACTGCTGAACTGCCGGTCCTATCCACTCCAAATGTAGGCTTATTAGGTCCTATAAAATAAATAAATTAATTAAAACTAAGGACATTTACTACATTTTAGCTAGTTTTATTTAGTTTTGCCAACCTACAATACAATTTTAGTTAGTCGTTTTTTGTAAAGCCTCGTTTTTATTTTTGTTTCAGTTAACGACAATGTTTTTCCACATCTAGTTTCGTTATTGCGTTCGTCTTCGTTATCGATAACCTTGATCAGGGCTGGGTAGAAAATTATGTAGTAAGCCTCTATCCTTGGACCCTCCATTCAGATAAGAAAAAACTCCCAAACATGAATGAGGTTTCTATAAAATAGAAGTAAGCTTGATCAAGGAAATGATATGCCTATATCCAGCCTGTGGGCGCTATCTAAGGTAAAAGAATCCAAGGAAGGTTAAAGTCAAGGGCAACTGGACTTCTTCAGTTCTGACTGACTGGCAGGGAAACTCAGCTATTTAACCTCAGTGGGGTCGTTGGCCCGGGTCATCGATACCGCTACAGGTCTGTGCATTCCTCACTGCATTGGACCGCATACACTAGATTGCTTTTCTTGTGTTTGGGTGTGCGGTCTTTGGGGTGGACCAGCATCTGTCTTAGTGTGTTCTTGGGTTTAAAAAACACAGGGATGTTGTGTTTGTTAAAAATCCTCCTGAGTTTCTCTGATACTCCAGACACGTATGGAATCACAATGTTGTTGCGTTTGACCTTCTTTTCCTCCCCTGTAGTTTTGTTCTTCTTGGATTTTGTGGCTGTCTTCACAAAGGTCCATTTAGGGTCTCCACAGGCTGTAAGTGCCCCCTTCAGGTGCTTCTGGTCCTTCTCTCTGGCTTGGGCGCTTGTTGGTATGTTCTCCGCTCTGTGGTGCAGTGTTCTCATGACCCCTAGCTTGTGCTCCAGTGGGTGGTGGGAATCGAACAGTAGGTATTGGTCTGTGTGTGTGGGTTTTCTGTAAACACCAATCTGCAGGCTCCTGTCCTCTTCAATGTGTACAGCGCAGTCCAGGAAGGCCAAACTGTTGTTGTGAACATCTTCTCGGGTGAACTTGATGTTACTGTCCACAGAGTTGATGTGTTCTGTGAAGGCTTGCACTTCCTGGCTTTTGATTTTGACCCAGGTGTCGTCCACATATCTGTACCAGTGGCTCGGTGCTATTCCTCTGAAGGAGTTGAGGGCTTTATTCTCCACTTCTTCCATGTAGATGTTTGCCACAATCAGGGATACCGGTGAGCCCATGGCACAGCCATGCTTCTGTCTGTAGAATCCACCGTTGTACTGGAAATAGGTGGTGTTTAGACAGAGGTCGAGTAATTTGCAGATTTGGTCAGGGCTGAGGCTAGTTCTGTTGTCCAGGGTGTTGTCTTGTGTTAGCCGTTTCCTGAAGGTTTCTACTGCCTCTATGGTGGGGATGCAGGTGAACAAAGAAGTCACGTCATAGGATACCATGGTTTCATCTGGATCCAGTTTTAGTCCCCGAACTTTGTTTACAAAGTCAATAGAGTTTTGAATGTGGTGAGGCGTGTTTCCCACCAATGGAGCTAAGATGGTGGAAATGTGTTTGGCAATGTTGTAGGTGACCTTGTAGTTAATGCTGCTGATAATCGGCCTGAGAGGGGCTCCTTCTTTGTGTATCTTGGGTAGTCCATAAATGCATGGAATGGCTTCTCCAGGATACAAACGGTAATATTGTTCACGGGTGATGGTGTTGTCCTTCTGTAACTGTTGTAGACATTCTATGGCCTTTTTCTTGTATATGCTGGTTGGGTCTCGTCTCAGTGTCTCATATGTGTTTGTGTCCATTAGTAGTGTGTTGACTTTGTTCTGGTAGCCTGCTGTGTTAAGTACTACCGTGCATCTTCCTTTGTCAGCAGGTAGGATAGTGATGTTTTGATCCTTGCTCAGAGATGTCACAGCCTTCCTTTCTTGGGTGGTGAGGTTGGAAGTGGGGCCTTTGCATTAGAAAGGTAGCAGGTAGATACATATATTTCCCCTAATGACTTATACTATACAGATCAATCAGTTATCAGGACATCCCAATTTACTGAGACTGTAACGGTAGGAGACAGAACGGTCCCAAACGCAACGCTGAGGATTTGCAAAAAGAGGTTTATTGAGGAAAGAGGGGGACGAGGAGGGACGGGAGGAAAGAAGGGGAGTGGCAGGCGAGGACGCGGGGGACCGAGCAGCTGGAGGAGCGGAAGGAGCTTAGGCTGGAGGTTCGAGGGAGGCTGGCAGAAGTTGAGGAGAGAGCGCGGTGACTGGGGACCCGGCGGGGTGCAAGGGGGGAAGCCGGAGGGCGTCGTGGAGGCGGCGAGAGGAGGAGGCTGGCGAGCAAGCCCGGCTGGCCGAGCTGGGAGGCAGAGGTGAGTGAACCTGGCAGGAGGAAACAGACAGACAGGGTTAGCAGGTGATCTATTCCACAGGAAGCTCCTTATCCAGTGGCATGGCTAGGTTAATGTTCATGTGTGTGGAAAAGACTTTAAATGGGTCAATAGTGTTAAAGGCAGAACTAAAGTCCATGATTCCAGGTGTTGCAGGGTATGGTGGAGTGCTATGCTAGTCCTCAATGGACCAGTTGGCTTGGTGAGAAAATTGATATGTTCCGTCAGTGCCGAGGTGCAGGATTTCAAGTATGCCACAGATGTTAGGGCAAGTGGTCTGAAGTCATTGAAGCAGGTGATCTTTGAGGACATTGGCACAGGAATGATGGTAGAGCATTTAAAGCACTGTGGGACTTTACATTGGCTTAATGAGGTGTTAAATATGGTGGAAGTTACTGGCGCCAATTGAGCTGCACAATGGCTAAGTAAAGCAGGCCTGATCCCATCCGGCCCTGCTGCTTTCCTCATGTTCAGCTTCTTAAATGTAGCTCTCACCTCGTCCTCCTGGATGCATGAGAGTGGTATTGGAATGGGGTCGGGGGGGGTGGCTTGTGAGGTAGGTTTTTCAAACCTTGCATAAAAGTTATTTAATCTGCCTGGGAGGCTAGGGTCATTGTCTAGAGGGGAGATGGGGCGTTTTTTGTAGTCTGTCATGTCCTTAAGATTTTTCCATATTAATCTTGAGCTGCTTGATGAGAATTGTTGCTCCAGTTTTGTTCCATAGCTGTGCTTTGCTCTCCTTATTGCAGCTCATAGTTTAAATTTGGCTGCTCTGTATTGACTCTTGTCTCCATTTTTATACGTATGTAAGATCATTGTAAGATGTAAGTCTTTGGAAAACCAGGGTTTTTTATTGCCATAGAATGACACTGTTTTGGTGGGGATGCACAGAACTTGACTTATGACGTCACAGTATCAGCAGTTCGTCAAGGGAGGCACAAACTGCACTGAGTATGGGGATCTGATCGCCAGGGGGCGGTGTTACATTGCAGCATGCCAGTGAAATGCCAGCATGGAAGTAATAGGCTTAACAGAAACCACCAGAAACATCTGTAAATTCACAGTACAGTATTTCCCACAGAATAACCATAACTGTGGCGCTGCGCGGGGGAGGGGGGAGTGCAATTGCCTGAAAATTACCTTTTCATGATGCCTTCCCAAAAAGGACCACAATGGAAATAAGCTGTCTGGCTTTATTGTGTTTTTATCCTTTTTGATGGTATTTGTAGTATTTATTGTGTTTATTTTTACAATCAATAAAGAAAGTCAATCAATCAGCTAAACCCTGTTTCATCTCATTTCTATTTTCTATTTAACTCCATGTTGCTTTTACATTTTGTCATGATGCCTTTCATGTTTTCTGTATAGCACTTTGAATTGCCTTGTTGTAATGTGCTATACAAATAAACTTGCCGTGCCCGTGTCCTAATACTGGAATTGGTACTTGGACTACTAGCGTTACTGTTGACAGTGATACTGGTCGTAACATTAGTACTGTTCCAGATACTCGTGCTGATAGTGTTACAGTGTTAACATTGATCAAAACCCCAGTAAAAAATAAGACCTACATTGGTGCTTTAAGGACAGAGGGCGTTGTCGTTGTGTATAGGTTTGCTTTAAATTGTACTTAGGGTGTGTGTGTGTGTTTGTGTGTAGGTGGAGTCCCAGCCGGAGTATGAGGTCAATCTGTACATGTACCTTTACTTTGTCTGCTTCATCATCTTCGGCTCCTTCTTCACCCTCAACCTCTTCATCGGAGTCATTATCGACAACTTCAACCAGCAGAAAGCCAAGATATGTTTCTACTCACTGACGGACAGACGGACTCTGGACTCTGTTCACATCTGAATAGTTTTGACTTCAGCTTGGTCTAGCTTCAGTTGTGATAATAAATCGTTACCTATTCTCTCTGTCAGGGAGTTAACTCTGCTCTTTTGTCTTTACTTGGGAGGAACCGATATTTTCATGACAGAAGAACAGAAGAAATACTACAATGCCATGAAGAAACTGGGCTCCAAGAAACCTCAGAAACCTGTTCCACGACCTGAGGTCAGTTCAGTTACTTCCTGTCTGACTTAGACATTAAATACAGGTGTGAAAAGTCCAGGTGAGACCAGGATTGAATGTTTGATGAAGTTTTCAGCTAATGTCATCTGTTTCTGCTCTTTCTGTTTCCCCAGAATAAGTTCCAGGGTCTGGTCTTTGACCTGGTGACCCAACAGTTTTTCGACATCTTCATTATGGTGTTGATCTGCCTCAACATGGTGACCATGATGGTGGAGACGGATGATCAGAGCGAGGAGATGGAAAACATCCTTTACTGGGCCAACCTCGTCTTCATCATCATCTTCACCTCAGAGTGCACTCTGAAGCTCATCGCGCTCCGGCACCACTACTTTGCCGTTGGCTGGAATATCTTCGACTTCGTGGTCGTTATTCTGTCCATCGTAGGTGGGTCGGTGACAGTGTTGGGCAGTAACGCGTTACTGTAATATTATAACTTTTCCCAGTAACTAGTAGTGTAACTAATTACTTTTCCAAAACAGTAACATTATTACAGTTACTAATCCAAGTAACACTGCATTACTGCGTTACTGAATGCTCCATCCTTGATTGAATAACTAGTCCTATTGTTATTATTGTTATTATTATCATTAACACTATTATAAATTTCTGTACCATTTTTCATTTAGTCTATAGCAACATCACCTTTACTGTCTGTACCTCTGTGTGGATATTGTGTAGGCTGCCTCCCTCCCCTCTCTCTCTCTCTCTCTCTCTCGGTGCATGCTGGGAGTGTTTGGGTGCGTGTGAGGGTTCACACGAGTGGAGGGTGATCGTGTGCTTGTTTCAAACTTTTCTAAATTTTTGTTTCAAGTTTCCTGAGTAAACATTTTTGTTGTGATAAGAGTATTTTGAGGATTAGTTAGGGAGCAGGATGGCGTCCCCTACGCCACCTGTCTCCATCCGCCATGGAGTCAGGTGTGTGACGGCGAACGGGGTGAATGTGGAGGAAGTGCTACTTGCAGTTGGACAGGAGATCGGCTATGAAAACATTTCATCTGCCTCGCGAATGAATAAAGCGGTGGTTGTGTTTTTAAAAGAAGAGAACCATGTGAATCATCTTATAAGCAGCGGAATAGTGGGAAGTGGAGACTTTGTTACTGTTTTGCCGCTGGTTGCTCCAACTATTAAGGTGACTGTGTCAAACGTGCCGCCTTTCATCCAGAGTAATGAGATAGAACGAGAGCTTTTGCGATATGGTAAGTTAGCTAGCGCAATTAAAACCGTTCCTCTTGGATGTAGAAATGAAGCGCTAAAGCACGTAATGTCGTTTAGAAGACAGGTTTTTATGTTCCTGAATGAACAGGCGTTAGACGTGTCTTTTAAAGTTTGGCATGAAGGAAGAGCGTACATGGTTTATGCAAACACTGGGAATATGAAATGTTTTGAGTGTGGAGACGCTGGGCATAAGCGTTTAGCATGTCCGCATAAAGCTCAAGCTGATGAGGCCGTTGGTCCTGTGAAAGATCCTGAGAACGTGCAGTCTGTAGAGGAGGAAGAGGATGAGCCTCAGGGAGCTGAGGAAGCTGTTGTTGTAGAGGAAGATGAGTCTCAGGGAGCTGAGGAAGCTGTTGTTGTAGAGGAAGATGAGCCTCAGGGAGCTGAGGAAGCTGTTGTTGTAGAGGAAGATGAGTCTCAGGGAGCTGAGGAAGCTGTTGTAGTAGAGGAAGATGAGTCTCAGGGAGCTGAGGAAGCTGTTGTAGTAGAGGAAGATGAGTCTCAGGGAGCTGAGGAAGCTGTTGTAGTAGAGGAAGATGAGCCTCAGGGAGCTGAGGAAGCTGTAGAGGAAGATGAGCCTCAGGGAGCTGAGGAAGCTGTAGAGGAAGATGAGCCTCAGGGAGCTGAGGAAGCTGTTGAATTAAATGAAGAAAATGACAACCAAACTGAGGAAAGTGGGATTGTGAATAATGAAACAACAGGAATGGTGGGAAACAAAGTAATGAGTGAAGATAGGGAAACTGTTGCAAGTAGTGGAGGAAATGGTGTTGGAAGTGAGAACATTGGTGATGCAGAAATGAGAGATGAAGATGCTCTTTCTGAGTTTTCAGAAATTGGGTCACAAGTGATTGAAGACATGTACCCTTTAGAGGAAATTAATGACTTTCTGGATACAACATTCGGTAAAATTGTAGAAGTAGAAGATTTTTTTCCAGATGTGGACAAATTTATAATATCAGTGTTGTTTCTGCAAAAAACAGTGAGCTATGAAGTTTTGGATAAAAAGAAAAGATTCAGGCTGAAAAAGATGGTAACAAAGTTGAGGAGAAGGAAAGCGAAAGTTTAAAAACAGCTTAGATATGAATAAATCACAAGTGGTGTTCTTTACTCTCTGCTCTTTTTTTTCAGTTTCTGTCTTTTTCTTAATTCTCTATATGGATGTGTGGAGAGTGGGTTCATTATATATTAATGGGGTAGGGACAAGAATAAATTAACAAAGATTTCTGAGTTTTTAAGAATTGAAAAGGTTAATGTTTGTTTTTTACAAGAAACGCATACAGACACTGATAATGAGGTCGAATGGGGGTTGTGGTGGAAAGGAAAATTTGCCTTGAGTCATGACACAAGAAATAGTGCGGGGGTAGCTATTTTATTTTCTAAAAGTGTGAGTATTGTAAAGATAGAAGAAATTGTGAAAGGAAGATTACTTTTAACACAAATTGAGTATAATGGAATAGAGTCTGTATTATAGAGAGGCTGATATTTTTTATGGAGTTAAGGAAAGTGCTAAAAAAATATGATGATAATGTTTGTCTAATACTTGGAGGTGATTGGAATTGTACAATAGACTTTGTTGTTGATAGGAATGGAGAAGAGCCTCATAGTAAGTCAAGGGATGTATTAAAAAAGTTATGAATGAATTTCAGTTAACAGATGTATGGAGAACGAGGAATGAAGGAGTAAGCAGTATACGTGGCTAAGAGTGGTTGATAATAGAGTTAGTGGAGCGAGATTGGATAGGTTTTATCTAAAAAAGACATGGAACAACAAGGTGATGAATACTTTTATTAGACCTAATGGTTTTCAGACCATCATATGGTCATATTAGATGTTAATTTGGAAAAAACATGCAGATCTAATTATTACTGGATTTTTAATATTAAGTTATTACAGGATGTCTCTTTTTGTGAAAAGTTTAAAGTTTTCTGGGATATTTGGAAATTGAAGAAAATTCTTTTGAAAACCTAAGTCAATGGTGGGATGTGGGCAAGACAAATATAAAAATGTTTTGTCAAAACTATGCTTTCCACTCATCAATTATACTGAAAGCAACAGTGAAAGCTTACAAAGTGACATTGAGTTCATTGAAAGACAAGCTGTAAATAATAATGAAGCTGTACAGTGTCATGGTTAAATAAGAAAAGACAAGAGCTAAGCTCTCTTCTACATGAGCAAGCAAAAGGAGCATTGGTGAGATCAAGATACTGTTCTGTAAAAGAATGGATGCTCCAAGTGCTTTCTTTTTTAACCTGGAAAGGAAACATGTCCAACAAAAGATGATGTGCCATCTTCGTCGTTCGGACGGATCCGTGACATCAGATCCTACAGAAATGAGAAGATTGGCTGGAGACTTTTATAAACTATTATATGTATAATATAACTAATATATAATATATATAATAATATATAACTATTATATTGTTTTGAAGTTTTAATTTTTTTTTTTTTTAAAGGAAAAAGGAGTTTTATTATAAGAGTACAAATGGTTTTATGGTGATGGTTACTTTGTTCATAATCTTGAAGTAAAAATGTATAAATAAAGGTATTGTTAAATCTCTCTCTCTCTCTCTCTCTCTGTTCCTTTCTTGCCCCCCCTCTCTCTCTCTCCCTCTCGCTCTCTCTCTGTTCCTCTCTTGCCCCCTCTCTCTCTCTCTCTCT